CACCATCTAGCTGATTACAATCATGATAAAGGAACTCGAGCCAGCCCTTGGCTCAGTTGGAAATACGTGAATCTCCACCTCAAAACGGCCCCAAAGACCCAATATACATACAGACCATTCACAAATCAGCAAAAAGCATCTGCATCGACGCAGTAGCAACAGCCCTAACGAACGCAGAGGAAGTCCTCACCAATACCATGCACATCACCGCCCCGAATCCCTGGCCACCGCATTTCATATCAATACTGTACGTCTCACAGATTTACTTCAAGTCCTCATTGTCGCCTTAAAATATGGCACAGTGCTGTATTGACCTTCTCACAGCGTGGTAACCACTGAGATTGCCGAAAACCTTTTCCAGCCTTGCCCGGAGAATGCCTAGGGTGAGCTTCAGGATATGCATCCTGTTGTGCAGATTCCCGAGTATTTGGTCCTTCGAGTTGAGAGTTTGAATTAGGCGTTGATTTGGTGGTTATTTGCGAGAGAGGTTGGGTTGTGCCGAAGTGACTTGGCGATCGTAACAAAGTAAACATGATTTTAGAAATGCATGGCTCCTCTATAAGTAATTGTCTATTGTGCCAGTTCTTAGCAAATCTCAATATCACCATCCTTGCTGAAGCATACACCAAGGGGGGCAACAGGCCCACCAAAACCATACACACACCAAGCAAGAAAGAACACATGCAGATGCAGAAATGTGACTTTGTACTCGGCCGCTCCATGAAGAACACGCCATGAGATAAGTATAAAAAAAGGCAAAGAAAAAAAACAAAAAAAACAAAGAAAACCCCCTATCCGAGCCGATCCCGGCAGCGCCTGCGACGTGATATAATACAAGATTCTACTGCTCTAAGCAGCAACTCCTCACACACTCACTCCATATCCGGCTCGATATCGCTGCCGCCTCCATCCATGCCTTCGTCCATGGCTTCGGGGTTCAGGTTGGCTGCGTCGGGAGCAACGCCGATTTGAGTCTCGTAGGAGACAGTGCGCCAGCCGGCTGGGACGGATGTGTCTTTGATATATTCGGACATGGGGAACTGATTTATGTTAGAAGGAGTACTTGGTTTTGTTTTTCATGCAGTTGGAGGGGGTTAGAAAGGGGAACTTACGTAGTGGTCGTTCTTCTTCATGGTGACCACCCATGGAACGTTGTCAAAGGTGACGGCGCGAATGCGGAAGTACTCGTTATCGGGGATCTTGCGCACTTCCCGCACGAAACTGTCCAGGTCTGGAGTCGAGACACTGTTAACAGCAGTGAGGAAGTTGGTAGGAGCAAGGCCGTAGTGGTAAGCGGGGGAACCGCGGCTCTAAAAGAGTGTTAGTAAATTACAGGAGAAATGGAAAAGGATTGAAATATACCCTAGCGCTCACGTAGATCTCACTGTGGACCTTGGAGATCTGCTGGCGCACAGCGTGATGCGGCTTTTGCAGGACAGCACCACAGAAGACAAGAGCACGGTCCGTCTCGATGTCCTCAGTGGGAACTGTCGGGACGCGGATGCTGACTTCCTCACCGTTACGAACAACCACTGCGTCCAGGACATCCTTCTCATACATGACATCCAGCTCAGAGACACGAGTGATGAGCTGACCGTCCAGGGTGAGGATGATATCAGCCTCCTGGAAGCTGGTGGTGGGGTCGGGGGTGACAGCAGCAGGCGGGCTGTCGACCTTGCGCACCATGAAGAGCTGGTGGCGCGAGGGGTTGGCCTCAGTGACCTTGTTAATCCAGTCCTGGGAGACACCCATGATACGAGCCTGGCTCATCTGCACGACGTAGCTTTCCATGTTCAAGATGCGCAGCTTGGGAGTCACTCCTTGCTGGATCTTCTCAGTCACGGGTAGCAGATAAGGCGTGGCAAGTCCGAGGTGGTACTCGATATCTTTGTGGGAGCTGGCAGAGCGTTCACCGAGGTAGTTCAGCCACAGGGCCTGTACCACGCCGTCTTCGCCGATCAACACACCATTTGAACATTGCGCACTGAGTCCGGTGTCCACAGTGACAGCGTCCAGGTTGATGGCGCGGTAACGAGGAGCCGCGGCGTTTGCGGGGATCGAGACAGTTGTGATATCAGTGACAGTGGTCTTTGCCACGACGATGCGGTAGTTTTGATTGAAGCCAACGAATATGGTATCTTGGCCTTGCTTGATGTAGTTAGTGCTGAGCTGGGCGCTCTTGACCGGAGCCTTGACGAGGCTTGGGTCATATTTGATGATGGTATAGTTCTGCAGTGGGTGGAGGAAGACCACCTTGGCACTGACGATGATTGAGTCGGCCACAGTAATGTTGATGTCACAAAGGTCATAGGGCACAATGGCTCGAGAAACGACTACCAAACCCTTCTCAGCGTCAATGACCAGACCAAAGCCGGTCTTCTTCGCCTGCGGGTATCCATCCAACTTTAACGGCATGATACAAGATACGCGCACGAAGCTACGCACGATTTCAGCCGCAGCGGGCTGGCTGATACCATCCAGCTGGATGAAGTTCGCCTCCATTGGCACAGGGGGTTCAGCAGGAATAGGATCGGCGATGTCGGAGAAATCCCAGATGCCGGAGTCGTCATTTCGGACGGCCAAGCGCATCTTCGGGTGCCAGTGACGGTCGACATAAATGATGCTTGTTCCCTTTGTGTGCAGGTCACGAATGTGGCGGTAAGAGATCACGACACGAGTGCGATCAGGAATGCCCTTCATGACTTGTACGAACTCGTTCAGATTACGAATTGGTCGCTTGTCGATGGAATCGATGATCCATCCAGCCACAGTGTTCTCCAGCTTAAATGAGCCTGCAGATTCACAGACATACACTCCGCGAGTGGCAATCGCATAGAGGCGAGACTGCTGGTAAGACAGATCGTGGAATGTGGCGCCGGCAACAGTCACAAATCGGTCTGGAGTGATTTCGTGGAGATCGCCCACCTGGCATTCGACTTCAACGTCCTGGCCTCCCCTCTGAACTAGCAGCTTGATGACACCACCAACGCTCGAGTCCAGGATATCGTCGAGACGGACAAACTGCGTGAGAAGCTCTCCATTGACCTTAACAAGCACATCTCCTTCGAGAAGCTTACCATCGGCAGGGCCTTCAGGCAGAATAATCTCAGCTGCAAGCATGTTTGTCTCAGCAGGTGCAGCCGCACGAACGGCAGCCTCCCACTCCGGAGTGAGACCGAGACGACGGCACTCATCGAAAGGCCGCAAAACCCATTGGGTCTGGATGGTACCACGAGTGACAGGCTTGCTTTCCTGAATACACTGCAGAGCGCGAAGCGGGCGATCCAACGGCAAGAAATAATCCGTTGCAGCTCCATCGGCTCGGCCACCGGCCTGCAAAGCGACTGCATGACCATCGATGTTGACCACTGGACTTCCGGAACTACCACCACTAGCAGCAGCAGCAGCCTGAATATAGTTCGTGTTGAAATCACAGTATCCCTCGCCATATTCGGGGGCGTTCCGGTCCAATCGACTGATTACACCGGACAGAATGCTCAGCTTTTCTCCAGCGTCGTTACCTACCACGCGGATTTCCGTGCCAACTCTTGCTCCATCAGGCTGAAGCTTGAGCTCGGTGAGAGCCATGTACCGAATCTTCGCCGGATCGAACTGCAAGATACCGAAATCATGAACGGGGTCGCGGTAAACAGGCTTGACATCGCACTATCATCAGTTTTTGTTAGCAGACGAACATACATCTCCCAGTGAAACCCATGGAAACATCGACTTACCTCTTCGTGGTTATCGAAGATACAATATCCCCAGAAAGGACCGGCACCAACCACATGACGATTGGTCAAGATGTAGCCACGCTTTGCATCCACAACAAAGCCCGTGGCTTGGCTGGACATGGAAAGCTCAGTGTCGAAAGAGCAGGTCTGACAGAAGTGAATGGAGACGGCACTCTTCACGACCTTCTCAATGGTGGCCTGCCATTCAGGTGAATCTGCCGGAGCAGGGACAACAGCCGGTGAAGGAGCTTCATCGAAGTCCTCCTCGACATTGTACACAGTTCCGTTGGCGGGCGTTGCGTCACCGGGAGTCAAGATAGCACCCTCCGGTCGAAGCTGCTTGTTGGGACGCTCGGCAGCATTGGAGGCGGTGCTGCGCTTGCGCTTTGCGCTCAAATCTCCATGAGCATCCATGGCGCAAGTAGCAGAGGTGTTGTGCACACGGGGCCGGGGGTGGTTGGCAAGGGACGAAGCTGCCCGGAAGGACCTTGGGGCTAACGAAGCGGAGACCGGAATAAAAAGCGATTGGAGACTATGGGTATGCGGACGATGCGGGGATAAAAAGGAATGCGATGCAGATGACCGATCGGCGGAGATTATAGAGCTCAAAGGAGTGATCTGCTGAAGGAAACGCGATCTTGGGAAAGCGGAATTTGCAATTGACAAGCTCCTTCTGCACGCAACTAGCAGAGAACAAGACATACACCCTGAGATGAATGGAATGAAGCAAAAGAGGCTTTAGTCGTTGAGGGCGGAGAGCTAAGGAAGCACGTTGATTGGCGGGAGACGCTCACGCGATATGATCCCATGGCATCAACTTGCAGCTCCGGAGGCGTGCAGTCTCACATTCCTACGATTCCCTTTGCTTTTTTTTTTTGATCGTTGCCTAGTTTTGGATAATGTCATATTCAGTCTAATGTACAGGTCTGCCTTTTTTTGTCTTTCGTTCCTACTCGTGTCTATTTAGGTAGCTGCCCGTCGGAAACGAGAACTCCATGGTCTGTAATAATAGAGATCCAAATATGCTTGAAGATCTCCAGGCATTATGCCTGATCTCTTGCAGCAGATGTTATGCATGGTGGGAGGCCCATGCTTATGCTAGCATGCATGGTGGAGGATGTTGGGCAACGCCTTCTACACAAATGCGTGCGTTAGTGGTCCGAAACAGGAGCGGATGATTACTGATTGCCGCAGCGGACAACGCAGGAGCTCAATATAAATGTGGCGTATCTTCTCGCGAGGAAGACTGCATAATTCACAGCTTGCTCAGACAACAGACTCGCCCAGAGCGCCAGGGCTGGGCCCACCGTTACCCTGAGGGCTGAGGCGTTGTGGTGTCGAGGCTTTGCCAGATCGAGAGAAAAGCTCATTGAGCCTGGTGTACAGGTCATTTATACTCGGAAGGTTGGGAGGCGGTGTCATGATGGCTGGCGCTTGGGGCGCAACACCACCCGGTTTCTTGGCTCGATCAGCGATGGTTGCGAGATAGGCCAAGTTGGCTTGCAAGCGTCGCATGCATTCAATATATTCAGGACTTGGTTTCTGTCCGGCTTTTGATGGATCGACTGCCTGTTCTGTGGTTGGTGAATTTGGGTCTGGGTTGGAGGCAGCACCGGCCTTTCCAGCAGCTTGAAGGTTGACCACTTCCTGCAGCAGGGCGGAGTTGATATCAAGGAGAGCAGTGACGCGTGCTTTCTCACGCGCGGCAAACTGAGCTTGAGCTTGAGCTTGAGCTTGAGCTTGCGCCTGGGCCTGAGCCTGAGCCTGGGCGGGGGCCGCAGGAGAAGCACCGCTTTGAGGCGAGTTCATTTGTGAAGGTGGTTTAGGCCCGGTGCCGAGGAGATTATTCGCCGAAATCGAGGCCATGTTCTGAGAAAAAGTTTGCGCTACTTGTGACGGCATATTCTGACCGGAGGTGCCTTGAGGGGGAACGAATTGGCCCATGGTGGTGGGAACAGGAGCCTGGTTGAAGGGTGCTGAGAAGTTCTCCATAGGTGCTGCTGATAGCTTTAGGGTCAGTTAAGAAGACTTCAAGAGCAGAAGGGATCCCCAAGGATCACAGCAGGGAAAGTGACAATAAGTAAGGCTAGGCAAGGCCAAGAAACAGAGCTGCACCGGTACCAAGGAGGGGCTGGGAGGGTAACACAGGAGCTCATGAGGGGGGGGGGGGGGGGGGAAGATAGCTCAATTCTCTCTTGAGCCTCATGCAAGTGGTCCCTTTCATGGACTGGAGCAGGTGAAAGGTGACAGGAAAAGGTACTCCTGACACCAGGAAAAAAAGGGGGAAGGAGAGGAGGGGGGGGGGGGGGGGGGGGGGTCCACGAACCAGAAGATTGGGGAAAGCCTGAGGGTATCATAGCTCCAGGCTGCATGGGCATAGCAAAAGAATGTTGTGTCTTTGACTGATACGGAGCGTTAGGGTAAAAGGGCTGTTGCGGGCTCTGCGTCGGGACGGGATAGCCTGCCGGATAACCACTGGGGTCCATTGTGTGCCGGAACTAAAGGGGGTGGCACCCGTCCTGTAATATCTCGTCCCGCGATCCCTCCTGCTGTGTATGCACAGACGAAGAAGCCAAGGGTCGAGATCTAGAAAGCTCAATCTGTGGTGATTGGCTTAGACGGTGAGCCGGGATGTGCTGGGACACGATCGAGAAACAGATGGCCCGGATTCAGAGCGATCGGCTAATGGCTGCAGCGGAGACTTTGTGTGGAGACACGGGCCCCCAACTGTAGGATGGGGAAGATGATCGCAGAGGTTGACTTTGAATGTTTGAGATCGTATCTGATGATCTTGTTCAAGCAAGCACCGCCAAAGAGAAGACTTGAGGATCCCGGACACAGTCACGTGGTATCTACATGGCCTAAGGCAGGAGGGTGACTCAACATTAGCCTGAAAGTGGTGCCTGAAGCATGTGACTCTGCCCTATAGTTAATTACTTCTTCCACTTACTGACTGTAATTGTATCCTAATTCATACGCATTATGTGTTTCATACCTACTCTTTATCCTATCTCACCTTGACATATGTCTCCCAAAGTTCCTACCTTCACACAAGCAGGATTGCGATCCATGACGAGTAGACCTGGAATGTTTCAGCTCCCTCTTACCGCCATCTTGCCATCACACTGCAATTGCACGTACTTTTGACTTGCCACCTCAACATGCAAGATGAGGGACAGAGCTATGTCTCGTATAACTTCGGACTTCATACATATACCAGAACTGCTTGGCGCAGATAATGTACAGTAGAATGCTGATCGCGGCTCCACTAGAGTATCTAGACTTCCTCACTTTCGTTATAAACCACGTTCGGGAATCCAGATGCACACAATTCACACATGAGAGTGGGTGTTTTTCCGGTGATCGGCAAACATCTGCAGCAGACGTGATGTGTCAAGTGGGAGTAACCGGCGTCTTGGCTGAAAGAATGAAGCGCTGATCCTGAACTTTGTCGATCAACAGTCGGTGGCTGTGATGTACAGGAGTGTACAATATTCTGTCTGAAGGCATGTGATACCAGACATGTACAGAGTACAAGCTGCAGGGGAGCGAAATCGAACTATTGCCGGAGCCGTTTTGACGACTCGAAGGCATCGGGTCCACAGCGAATATGCAGGATGCTTAAAAGGGACTGTGGGCCTTGTTTGGGCGTCATGCGGGCGCCACAGGATCCATTGAAGCATCTCAATTCCAGGAAATGCAAGTTGGTGATCTCTGAGTAATGTAAACAAAGGTATGGGGCTGAACTTTTCTGGTATGACGGCGTTTCAGCTAGCCACAGTGGACACAATCGCCTTCACCAAGCCTAGCGTAGGGCTTGGCCTGCCTGTAGCCTTTTAAGCTGCCCGAGCCTCAATTTCTGGATAGTATCAGATTATTTGACCAAGGGGTTCTCCTGAAAATGTAGATTGAATCCACAATGTTGAGTTTTCTTATATTAATTACCGCTCGCTACCAATCGGCCACGAACACCACCTTGACACAAGTGATGTGATTCTGAAATTCAAGGGCTTGGATTTTCGCGAAAGCCCAATCACGGCTAAAAGGACGCAGAAGGATCCTAGATGTTACATGTACATCGAGTTCCTCAACTGGAAAGCTTCCTCTATGAGAAGTTGGCCCGACATTGTATACATGTCCAAACTTAATCGTGAATGTACGTCCAATGACGATAAGCTGAAGCCGTTATTGTGACTATTCAATGCCTTGTATTTGACCAAATAGATCTAACGTTTTTCACTAAAAATCGGTCATCGCGTGTGGCTTAGCTGGCCCACCTGAAATCTGTCTTGCAGAGCGGTTCATCTGGCATAACCTCGGCAAGCCCGGGATATTTTAGACGCTTGCAGTGTATCTACCGGAGAACACCCACAATTTTCCCCTGGAGAAAACTCGGTGAGAGGCTTATCGCGTTTGAATTCGGGTTGAATCGCAATAATCACGGCTCCACACGAACCTCTTCTCCGATGCTCCTCCGTACAGATTGGTTTCTCCGGATATTTGGCCGAGAATGTGCCATGGTGTTAAATGAGGCCCAGACATCTGGATCGACGCCGGCTGTAACGTTATTAGTGGAACAATACGTATAGTGCGGTGGCAAATTGAACAACCGGCAGCTCGGTGCAGACTAAGACTTCAGCTTGACCTCGGGGTTGCGTGTAAATTGCCTCTTTGGACAGTAAAAATTTCTCCCATCTCATTACATGTCTACGCTTAGGTGGAAGGTACTCTAAGCGAGGCCGAGTCCATTTACCCTCATGAAATGGAACTGTATCACTTTTGCTTTGGTCGGACTTGTATCTCCGAATCCGTACTTCCACCCAGAGCTATGCAAGTAGAACCCCATGAGCCTGACGCCCTCGGGTGCATGTCAAACTAAGAAGATCCGTGATCCAGGACTTTTGCGCAGGGATGACTTCGGATCCGGGGGCATCTATGCATGCATTCAATGTCCGGATTCCAAAGCTGCCCCCCCTTCCATAGCCACACAGCTTGCGTATTTTTTAATGGGTCTGGGTCTGCCTAAGCCCTACATGGAAGGACTCTTGGGGGTTAGTCTATGGTCAATCAGGATACATATTTGATCGGCCGGCCAATCTGAAGTTAATCTTGCACTTGACAACGTGAAACGACTGCGATAGATCACCTTGAGATACATGGAGGCGGGTGGAAGTTAGCCCGCCATGTCCATGTACTTTGGGCAGACCAACGAAACTCTCCCGTGCACATCCTCGACTCCAGGGCTTGCAAAAAGGGGGAGACAATCGCCATATTTATAGCCTAGACCGTTGAGATCGAGGAATTCCCTGCAAATCAAGGCTTGCCAATCGCGATCTCCCGAACTCATTGGAGAATTCTTCCTGATCGAATTGGGCCCGCTGATCACAACGAGGCCATGTGGACAGACCCGAACACAATCCACTCTAACTAAGTTTGACGGTCCTACCCTAGTGTCAATTGGGTTGATCTGCAAAGACGTTGCAGACCCCGAAGACCTCGGTATGGTAAACGAGACCCCGAGATCAGCTATAAAAACGACACTAGTATCGAACATCTTCTCCCCTAGAACGATATGATGCACGATCCCTCACTTGGAAAGAGCCTTGGTACCCATCTTAGATCCTTTGATAGGCCTTTCGAGCCAATGGAATCAGTCTCACTCGGCTATAAGCAAGGGGCAGGGAGAGACTGGGCGCCAAAACCATTAGGATCAGGCAACCAGTGGGCCTGTTCAAAGTTCCGTCACAGACGTTTGCCGATCTCTTATTCCAATCTGGCACTCTGCCGTCAACCTCGCGCCCCTTTTGTCCGAATATGGGGTTCCCTGTCACGAAACTCAACATTTCAGTGTCCGTTGACCGTAAGATCGGCCAACGACTATTCCCATGTTTCACTTGACCCGTAGAACCACTCATGGTCTGTAGCCGTTCAAGTGCTCGTATTGTTCTGCGGAAGAAATTGCACCAGCTAGCCCGGGACACCCCGTCCCTCCCAGGGACATGTCATAGTTAGTAAGGGGTGGTACGTGGAACGATCAGACGGGGTTTCCTTGACGTGAAGCTGCAACTAGTCCTGAGCACGTCAAGTTCTGACAGATCGTGATGCACTCGGGGGATTCCTTGTGGGCCACAGGGCCAATAACGTGGAGAGAGACGGAATTCCAAATATCCTCAACATGTACGTGCGTTCCCACAAGACCCTACTTGTACCTGTGTTTTGATACTGTAACCATGCTGAAATTTGTAGATCCGTACTTTCTGTGTCCCCACCGGCCTTTTATCGCCCCTGCCTGGAGCTGAGTCTCTCCTCCACAGTCTGGCGCTTTACTGGCTACGCCACAGCTGACAAGACTAGTGGCTGTGTATAAATCATTATCCTTATGCCCATCAACTTGGCACTTTGACTGTTGATTTAGTGAGGTTGCTTTTGGGTGGCTACTACAGCATGGTTCTCACACTTCCTCACACATATCATATGCCTGTAGGGAATCACCATCTCTACCCCACCATGCAGCCTGTCAGAAGCTGACCCTATCAGACGAATAGCCAAGCAGTCTGGAAAATCAGGGAACAGCCATTGAGTGCAAACTCTTGGGTACTACACCCCGAATCTGTGGTTCATGGTATGGAGCTGACTTGGAACAGACAGAAGCAATGTCGAGACAGCCACGGGACGAGCTGACGTACCCTCATTTCGCCTTGATCTATATTGACAGCAATGGCAATCTCGGTCAAAGATCATCCGAGTCAATCGCTGAGCGCCGCGAGAGAATCTTCACCCCCAGAGTGAGGGATGAATTCCTCAGGGCTGTGGCAAGTTCCAGAGAGTCGCAAGCAGTCCAGGGTCAATGTGAGTCTGTTTTCCCCTTAAATGAGGTTCTTGATTAACCCCCAACAGTGCCACCTGCCACACCAGCCAACCAAGCGACAGACTATAACGGCCACAGCACCCCACCACAGAGGCAAATTGCCAACCCTAAAGAAATGAATATAGATCAGAGTATGCAAAGTATGCCACAGACTGGACCCAGTCCCCACATTCAACCCGTTCAGCCCGAAACGTGGTCAACCCCCGAGTCCTGGCCTCAATGGCAAAGCTCACGGCCCAGGAAGAGAAACTTTGGAGGTCAAAACCTCAACTTGATTTCTCACCAGAAAGTCTCAATCTCTGTCAAAGATCGAGATCTCCTACGTCACTACTATGAGAAGATTTTCCAAAACCTGCAGCAAACCAACTGCCGGGTTCTTGCAAAAGCCTATGTCAAATTAGTTGAGCCACGCAAGCAGGTCAATTACCCCTATAACGGACGGAAGATCATTGCAGGGAGAACTCAGCAGCTCAGTCCAGAGGCAACAAAGCCTCCTTGGTGGCCATCTGGGGTGAGCCACCGAGAGCCAGACCATCTTCCCAAAGTTGGTATGAGAATACCCCTGCCAAAAGACCTCACCCAGGGCTAACAGTGTATAGAGCGCATTCGACTCTTAGTGCACATTCTGTGTGAACTACATGAGAGCCACGGAGTTACAACGGCTAGACTAAAAGAATGTGACCAGCCTATTCGACGTCAGATTCTTCCGGTCGATCGTCTAGAAATTCTCGATGAGGCATACCGAGTCCGTGAGGAGGAAGAAAATTTCCAGACTGGAGTGAAGGGTATGTCGGTGTATACAGCCATCGGAATTACCAAGACTCACCCTCGTTGATAGATGGAGAAGAACCTGTTTGGATCTCTCGTGCCAACCTCCCTGACACGACAGGAGACACTTCCAGCGGACAAAGCTCCCCGACCGAACCAGAATATACTCAAACAACAGCGAAATCAGAATGCAGCGATGAAGCCCTGGCCGTCGATACCTCAAAACTTCTCATCCCCTTCGATGACCCCCGATCGAACACCTCCCCATACCATACGACCCCCACCCACTATAACCCACCAATGCATATAAGCCCTCACATGCAATACATGCCCATCGAGCAGCCTACCCGCGGTTCCACATCACCACTGGAGTTAAAAAGGAAGCGGGAAGAGACTGTTGGGACAAACTTGGTCGACCGGACACGCCAAATGGGCCATACACCATACCAGTATACTGGAAACGTCAGTACCCAGGTATTTCCCATGGGTATTTACGAGGATCCTCTTGCAATGTCTGGTGTAGGTGCCTCAATCCCACCGTCGGTCCCTATATCACAGTCTGTCCCAATTACCCAGTCGGCGGCGGGACCGTCTACGGAACAGATGATGTTGTATGGTTACCCTTATTACTTTGATCAATGACGACCTGAAGATGATGAGCCGAGTATATGTAATGTCTTTTGATGATAATGAATATTTATTGGCGATTCAACGAATACCCTACCAGTCTACTACATTGTAACTCGACATGATACTGGAGCTGAGAAGAGAGACCCTCCAGAAAGAACAAGAAGAAAAGGATCAAGTCTATGATTGAGTTATTCGGCGTACAGACTTCAGCCTAAGAAAACAAAGCCAAATAGCTCCCTGCCAACCAATAGCAACAGTGATGAACCTCATCCTGTTGTCTGCGGTATTACGTGGCATTGCAGTCTTTCCCACCAGAACCAGACGCGGACGCGTTTGCCTACTGAGCTACCGAACCTGACTCCAGAAAATATGATAGTTACCTCGTATTCGTACATCAGATTAGATGAGTATCATATGATGCCTAGCGATTCGCCCTTGATCTTCTGTCGCTCGTACCGCATCCGCAACAGGTATGGAGCCTGATGCTTGCATCGATCATTATAAGAGACCTAGAACCCCACTACATTGTTTAATTTCTTTAAGATAAGTTGAGTCTATCCAAACAGTTTATGATTTCCCTTCTAAGAAGCGGCTTGGAGGTGTCAAATTGAATGATATACTGATATTTTGCTCGACTGATGTGGTTTATCTGCCTCTACAATAGTAAAGCGAGAGACAGAAGTGAATACACGGGCCTGCCTAGTGAATTCTCCCAATTTGGAAGCCCTACAGACACTGCGAGTACCAATCATTGGTGTAGGTACAAGTATACCCACTAACACAAACAGTACCGCCAGTCCATCCGGAGCCACCACACTGTCCCCAGTGAGCAACACCAGTGCTGCCACCTGAGCTAGCAGTAGTGGTAGTAGTAGCCTTAGTTGTAGTAGCAAGAGTAGTAGCAGCAGTGGTAGTCGAAGAAGCTGAACCGCCAAGAGCATTCAAGATACCAGTATAAGCAGGCTTCTTAACCAACCGATCATCCCAAGGACACGCAGCGCCCTGACCAGAGAAAGTACCAGGCACCCAAGAGTACTTGTCAGTGTAGTCCCAGATAGTAACACCAACACACTTGACATTAGCCACACAAGCAGCAACAGTGTTCTGGTAATCCGTCGATTGCTGAGCAAGCAAAGCAGAAGTCGAAGGCAGTGTCATACGAATGTCAAGCTCAGTATACGCAACCTCAACACCAAGGGCTGTGAAGGCAGCCAAGTTGGTAGTCTGCGCGCTCAGGCTGGGGGTGCTTCCAACAATGAAGTGAGCCTGCAGACCAACACCATCAATTTTGACACCGTATGACTGAATAAGCTTGACAATCCTCTGAGCGCCTGTAGACTTGGACCCGGCGGATTCGATGTTGTAGTCGTTGTAGTAGAGTTTGACGGATGGGTCGGCGGCGGCGGCAGCTGCAAAGGCGATGGGGAGGAAGGCTTCGCCAATGGTTGTGTAGAAGATACTGCTGCGGTAACTGCCGTCCTCGTTGAGAGCTGTTTGAATGTACTAGTTATAGAATGATCTGAAATAGTTCAGACTAGGCACTCACCTTCGTTGACGACATCCCACGCGTAACACTTCCCCTTGTAGTGAGTAACAACGTTGGTAATGTGATTCTTCATAGCAGCAATCAGAGTCGCATTGGTCCAAGTACCACTCGAGACTATCCTTCTGTCAGATCATATTCCAACATCACAAGTTATGTGAGGACCCAAGACTTACCCCAGCTGGGCAGCTGGCTATGCCAGACCAAGTTATGGCACCGCAGCTTCTGGCCATTGGTAGCAGCAAGATCTGCAATGACATCGCCCTGGGCGAAAGAGAATTTGTTCTGAGTCGGCTCAGTCGCATCCCACTGTCAATTGTTAGTATATGCCAGTCAAGCAAAGGAGCACTGTGCAAACCTTTTGAGAATTTCCAGGGGTAATTTGACCAAAGTCATCCGTGTTGCTTAACTGAGTCAAGTATGCGCTATCGCTCAGCTCGGGGTTGTCAGTCGCTGATCCGAAGTATAGCTGTCCTTTGGCAACGGCAGCAGTATTCAGACCAGCTGCTTGTGTTCTAACCAGTCATCGGTGTTAGTATCAAATGACGCTTCATAATTGACAATTTCCATACAGTTGAGGTAAAACACCGGCCAATGCCAGAGCAATAGCAGATAAATGAACCATAGTGACCAAAGGATCCGAAATCGTCGATATTAAGTCTGAGCCCAAGCTTCAATCTTGCACAGAGGACGAGACGCCCAAGCTCCTTATATAGTCCTAAAGAAAGCGCCATGTCAATATTCTCAGCATCTGTCCCGGCGCTAGGTTAGGCAGTTTCACATTGATCGCAACAGCCATTCGGGGCGAGAGCCCGTGGCGTAGTTGTCGCGGCCGTTCGAACTAGTCAAATTGGGTCATTTAGCTTAGTTCATGCATGGGAAATGGATAGTCTAGTATGAGCTCATGCATGGTGAAGGTAGTTAGCCTAAGATGTAGAGTAATAGTCACGGAGCGGAGCTCCACGTATGCAGAACAGCCGTCCGGAGGAGACGCCGTATTTTCTTTACGGCAAAAGGGACAATGGGGAAACCCCTGAAGAGGCATAAACAGTCGAAGTTGAAGAGGGCTAAATGCACGGCTAAATGTGTCTTCTCCACTTCAACGAACCTGTCGATCCCTTCCTGTCCAGCTTTGTCTGGGGTATTGACTTGTTTATTGCCGACATTACCAAAATATTTATTTGGGGGTAAAATAACACACTATAATACAGGCTAGACTGCGAGTTCCCTCACTTGATTGAGCCTATATTAGCGCCGGAGAGATGAGCCTGTATAGTAACTCCGGGCCTCGCGCATAATGGCTACGATCAATGCGAGCCAAAAGCTTCATGGTAGCGTGGCTTCATATGCTGGACTATGAACAGTTGGACATCCTCCCGGAGGGCGCTGCCTTTATAATTGAGCCATATCTATGTAAAGCCAAAGATGCAAATATGTACATGAATAGACATCTTGGAGGGTATCAGCTATTTTATCGTGGTCTTGCGTGAAGTAAAGGCAAGACCAAATGGTAGGTGTTGATAGGCGTCGCAGTTGAAGCGGACCAATTCGCAGTTCCAAGGCAGAAATCTTGACTTCTGCCAGAGCCGTGAAAGTGGTTTTGCGTCGGGACTTCCACTGAAAACCAGCGGCGATCAAGGGCGAGGTGACGGGAAACAGATCATCGTGTATAATGACGCAATGTCAAGTTCAGCCCGTTTTACGAGCCTTCATCTCTGCAATAAACTTGCCGGTCTTTGAGAGAGGCACAATGAAGATGCTGACAAGCTCATCCACAACCTCGACCTTGCCACCAGAGAGGATCTGAAGCAAAGGCAGCTTCTTGCCAGCCTTGATCAGACCACCAGTGACAGTCTGCATGAAGCACTCGACATTGTTGATGTTGTATTCCTTCTTCGTATCCCAAGGCAGAGGGAAAAGGTACTCCAGGTGATCGGTAATAGAGTTCATCTCAGAGAACGACTTGATAAAGTCAGACTGCGCCTCCATGGGATACAGGAAAACAGCGGGGAACTCGACAGTGCTCTCCGGTGATAGAGGGTCGGGGACGAGTCGGATCTTAGCGTCTTCCATATCCGGTGGTTGCTCAGTCTTGCGAGTTCTGATTTGGCGGGCGCGCAGGGCGGTACTAAGAACCATGTTCTGCTTGCGCAGCTTTTTCTTCCTCGGCCTTCTTCCTGGCGGCAGCATGCTCCACGTTGGCCTTGCGCTCGGCAATCTTCTGGGAGGCGGTTTTAAGAGATTTGTTTTCGGGATCGATAGCCAGACCACGGTTTGCGGCATCTTCAGCTTCGGCAATCTTGTCAAGCTTAAACAGGGCCATAGATGAACGGTAGAAGGCCTTTACGTTCCTGGGGTTGACCTTGAGGGCGGCAGCGCAGTCGAGGGTACATGCGCGGTAGTTTCCTGAAGCAATAGAATATTAGCAAAGCTCGTCAAAGTCCGACAAGTGTATATACCTAGTTCCAGATTGCAAAGAGCTCGGTTGATGTGTGACACCTCTTCCAGTTTGCGCAACAATGCCTCCTCAGCCTTGGGATCCTCGGGCTTTTCCCACTTGTTCACCTTGGCAAAGATAACAGCAATACTCTTGGTATAGAACTCCTTGGCATCGATCCATCGAAGCTCCGATACGGCCTCGTTACCCTGTTCCTTGAAGGTTTGCGCAACCTCGGCCTTGGTACCTTCGTTCTGCATAGCCTGCAGAGCGTCCAAAAGAACGTTTTCACCATCTATAGAGCCAGCTGTCAGCGTAGTCCACTGACAGTATTTGAATTCCAAGGAAACACATACTCTCGTCACCCGCATTCTCAATATCGGTCATGAACAGAGGAGTCTGATTCATCATTTTGAACAACTCCTCCTTAGAATGCGATTGAACGGCCGCAATAGCCGGTGGGAGATCAGGCGCATTAGGATCAGTCTGAAGGGCCTTCAAACCCTCCTCATTGATCGGGAAAGGAAGATCGTTGCCAGGTGCAAAGGCATCGAAGCCGGGTTGGGGAAGGCCCTGGTTAATTTCGGGAGGGACATCGTTCAGGTTGAGCGACTCATCAAAGTCATCCGGAAGCTCTTCGATTCGCGACATCGTGAAATGGTGCCACAGCAAACTGAGCTTTTGGAGATTGGAGATCTTCAAAAGCTTAGAAATGATATGATGCCCGCCGAGCAAACAGTGCAAACCGGAGGGGAGCCGTTGAGCCCTAGCCCTAACACCAGATTGAGCTCAAGCTCCATGCGACACGTGATAGAACTAACTGTTTTAGGTTGGAATAGTGCCTGAGGCCGAATTTTATACTTATGTATTGTACGGAGTATCAACATACATTTGTTACTTTCAGACTATTTTACAGCATGTTTCTTGACCTGCACCACATTGACATGGCCATGTTCAATAGAGAAATATATAAAGTGTACTACCTCGTTCCTTGCAGCATAAGAAGTATCCCAAGAAGACGATATCAGCGCTCAATGGTGATGCCACGCCAACTTTCATCCTCCTCCCCTCGATCCTATACGATCGACATCTTAGAGTGAATATAATAGACTGGAAGTACGCATCATAGATCGGATAGTTCTCCCTTCGCACTGGCATGACATCGGCAAAACCCCGACCAACCCTAACCCCGCATAAGTCGGATGAAACACCGAGCTCCGGTATAGGCTGTTCGAGGTCGGGGATATCAAAGAGGAGCTATCAGACACAACTCAGCCAAAGCATACAGCATACACCAAGAGAAAAGGAAACAAAGCCACTCAAACAATGACTCAAACCTCCAAAATCCTCATTCTCCCAGGAGACGGCATCGGCCCAGAAGTAATGAATGAAGCCATTAAAGTCCTGAAAGCCTTCGAAACACCGCAACGCAAATTCGAACTGCAACAAGAACTGATAGGAGGCTGCAGCATTGATATCCACGGCAAACCAGTAACAGACGAAGTTAAACAAGCAGCCTTAACCTCCGACGCAGTTCTATTCGCCGCAGTAGGAGGACCAAAATGGGATAACGCACGACGTGGACTAGACGGCCCTGAAGGTGGCTTACTACAGCTACGCAAGGCAATGGATATCTATGCAAACTTGCGCCCGTGCTCGTCTACATCCCCTAGTTCGTCCATTGCTAAGGAGTTTAGTCCTTTCCGGCATGATGTGATTGACGGTGTTGATTTTGTTGTTGTACGCGAGAACTGTGGTGGTGCTTATTTTGGGAGGAAGATTGAAGAGGAGAAGTATGGTGAGTTGGATGATTATCTCCTAGCATTGATACACTCTTGCTGATGGGTTGATATAGCAATGGACGAATGGGGCTACTCCGAAGCCGAGATCCAGCGTGTAACACGTCTATCAGCTGAAGTGGCACTGCGACATAATCCACCTTGGCCAGTCATCTCCCTCGACAAGGCGAATGTGCTGGCCTCTTCTCGGCTTTGGCGTCGCGTAGTGGAAAGGACGATGGTTGCCGAGTACCCGCAGGTGAAACTGGTGCACCAGCTTGCCGACTCGGCCTCATTGATCCTGGCGACGAACCCGCGGTCTCTGAATGGTGTTATTCTGGCGGATAATACCTTTGGTGATATGATCTCTGACCAAGCTGGGTCAATTGTCGGTACTCTTGGTGTATTACCGAGTGCCAGTCTAAATGGTCTTCCTGGTGATAAGATGCCGAAGACGAGACCGTATGGATTGTATGAGCCTACACATGGGTCTGCTCCGACGTAAGTGTAAACATAAATGACGACTTATAGTGTGTTTCCTAATATGTTTTAGTATCGCTGGGCAAAACATCGCCAACCCAGTTGCAATGATCCTCTGTGTTGCGCTCATGTTCCGGTACTCGCTAAGCATGGAAGCAGAGGCTCAATGCGTGGAGAATGCTGTGCGAAAGGTGTTGGACTCAGGACTGCGAACGCCTGATTTGGGTGGTAAGGCTGGGACTAAAGAAATGGGTGATGCGATTGTATCTGCACTGTAAGTATGCGTGATAACAGAAATGACTTGATGTGAGGCTTCAGCTTGAGCAGAATACGAAGGAATGTCTTTAGTAAATAGCCTCAAAGAGCTGGCATATTGGCTAGAACGCTGGAACAAAGAATGTATGTCTTAACGTGCTCGAATGTAGGTTGGAGAATTGAGATGATTGCCACATCCTACCACCCTTGGACAAACAATTATATCCGGCTTCTTTGATACAAAGAATTATGCCAAAGGCAATGTTTGCTCTCTGGGACGCGATGAAAGAACTGAGAATGTATCAAACTTCGTAATCGGTATCCCCAGACATTTGGAATTGACTTGTTCCTTCTACATCTACTGCTACTTTGCCTCTCTAGAGGTTTAAGAACCTGGCAAACCCATTCCTAAAGTCTGCGACAATACCTGAGGGACCAAGTACCAAGTGTCTCTACGTCCAAGCCAGTCAGATCCACCTTCAAACACTGTCCAAAGACTCGAAGCCCAACACTCAGAATGCCATCTGAAGAGCAAAAAACCCTTCCCCCTCCCCCCAATCCACCAAACTCAGAACCATCACCGACGCTACCGTTGACCCAGCGAGCAGCAGCAGCACCACCGCCAACTCCCCAAACACCATTCGATCAGGCCAAACTACCGGGATGCTGTGCTTTCCGTCTCGAAAACCTCGAAAATCAAACCTCCCAAACAAAGAAAGAGCTCATGAACTCAATCGCACAAGACATTTGCGCAACATTCACCTGCATAGCCAAGCACGCAGAAGCCGGAAACCTAGAAGACCAACACACAGATGTGATCGACAACGTGATCAAGATGATTCGCGGCACAGATGTGAGAACACGACACCGGCTGGAGATGCGGGAGCGGCGATTGCGGAGAGAACGCAATTGGCTACGGATGAAACATCTCAAGATGAGTCGGGACGTTAATGATCTGTCAGGGTTGTATCGGAAGAAAATGCGGGACTTCAATGCTGCGTTGCGGAAGCGGAATGGCGAGATCGAACAGTTACGGGCGGAGAGGGAGCTGTTGATGGTTAAGATACGTGAGGATAGGGATTTGTTGGTAGCGAAGATGTGTGATAAAACTGTTCTTGCTGATGATGCTGTTGGTACGGATATTGATGTTGATGGGGAGTTTGAGGTTGATACGGAGGTGTGAGTTCTCTGTTGTGTTTCGTTTGCCTGGGGTATTTGGATGATTAGTCTGGGGAATCCCCGGATTTCTGTGATATCAGTTGTATCAACAATCACATTCTGTCTGTTGTAGTAATCCAGTGAAGCCGGCTCCAATTTGTTAGCAGCATGTCTCTGATCTGTGAATTAGTCCATGTAAATGATATCACACTGTGATGTCCATCGGTATTTGACTTCCGAGGCATTCACTCGCGGCATTTGATAGGCAAACGCCTGAACCCGGAGTATGGGTTTTAAAGAGCCCGGCCCCTGTGATCTAAACCGAGCCCGAACACCGGAGCACCGTATAATATTCCGAAGCGAATCCACCCGAAATCAGTAGAAAATCGTTGATTGACTGTTGCCATCGACCGAAGGGACCTCGGTTGCTTTGAAAAGACGCAAATTGATTCGGCCCGCAGGATCCACCGTCACTCCGCGCATGTGGACGAGTTCTGGAGAAGACCCTTTTCTCTTCCATTTTCCCACACTCTAGACTCTTTTAGTATTCTCTTTCTTTGTGAATCACTTGAAACGACTTCATCCTCTCGTTGTTGCCAATCCACCTTTTCAAGCACAGATCTACCCAAGACAGGGCTCTCGGCCGAGAATGACCATCCACGACTATGAGGCAGTTCGCAAGGACATCGCCGCCCAGCTGAAGAAGCCCGATTATGACGATGGCAGTGCAGGACCCGTGTTTGTGCGGTTGGCATGGTAAGTAACCCCCAGAATTTGTCTTGCCTTCCCCGGTCGGAATCCCGGAGCAACGGCCGAGCCCACTCAGCGCAACGGTTAACCCGATCCTCAATAGGCACTCCTCCGGTACATACGATCTCGAGTCCGACACGGGCGGTTCCAACGGCGCGGGAATGCGATACGAAGCCGAAGGAGGCGATCCCTCGAACGCAGGTCTGCAACACGGACGGGCATTCCTAGAGCCGATCAAAGAGAAACACCCTTGGATCACGTACTCCGATCTGTGGACACTAGCCGGCGTAGTGGCAATCAAGGAGATGGGCGGACCCGAGATCGAATGGCACGGCGGACGGACAGACCTGGTAGACGACTCGAAGGTGCCACCACGAGGCCGGCTACCAGACGGAGCACAAGGCGCCGACCACCTGCGATTCATCTTTTACCGCATGGGCTTCAACGATCAGGAGATCGTGGCGCTAACAGGCGGCCACAACCTGGGCCGATGCCACGGCGACCGTAGCGGTTTCGAAGGACCGTGGGTGACGAACCCGACGCGATTCTCGAACTCGTTCTTCAAATTGCTGCTGCAGCTTGACTGGAAGCCTCGCAAGATGGCAACTGGTATGACGCAGTTTGTGTACGAGGATCCTGATGCCGAGGAGGACGAGGAGCCTTTGATGATGCTACCGACTGACATGGCCTTGTCGACGGATCCGTCGTTCGCTCCTTGGGTGAAGAAGTATGCCGAGGATAAGGATCTCTTCTTTGATCATTTTGCCAAAGCGTTTGCGAAGCTCGTTGAGCTTGGTATTCAGCGGGATGCCAAGGGTGTTGTTACCAATACTGACAACCGTCTTGGTGGATATGTTTCTGCTCCGAAGAAGAGCAACACTGCCACGGGCCCGCCTAGAGCGCGTCTGTAGATTCTGTGTCTGGATAATTTCCCCATTGCGTTAGATTTGGATATAGCCTGTGTAAATAGATAATAGAAGTTTCAGGTATTTGATTCGAAGAATGAATGTGCGTCAAGTCAATGTTCCTAGATGGAACCGATGAATATAGGATGGAAGATGAAGGAGGAAGAGGAGAAGGGAAGGGAAGAGAAGAGAGAAAGGAGCCCGGGGTATTGCGGGGGAAGCACAGACAGTCAGAATTTAGGTAACATGGTAACATCGGAGTTTATACAAGTTGGCAGAGATGAGTACGGAGTATGTTTAATAAGAGGCCGCTGATTGGCAGAAACCCCTGTCGACTAGTATATCTTCCGTTATGGGTTATTTTCAACTTTTTGAGAACGGAGGAACGTGACTGTAAACATATAACGTTAACCTGAATGATATTGACAATAACACAAAGCAATACATAAACATCCCAAACACCGAGGCTGAATGCACTTATAATAATGTTAACACCGTCCCTCTTTCAGACCACCTAGTTTTTACTTCTCCGAGTAGGTTGAACCCTCTTGGGCCCTGACTCCGCTCTAGTATTCTGCTTCGTGACTTTCATCGTCGCCTTCATAGATGAATCCTTTTTAGGGGTCGCCTTCTCAGGACTCGCGGTTCGAAGTCTCTTGATAGTACAAGGTCGGCGACGTGGCGATGACTGCACCTGATAATCCTCATCCTCCGCATCTTCCTCTTCGGAGACCTCCGGCGTGACCTCAGCTTGCTTCCGGGACTGGCGACCCTTTCTTGGCCGCGGTGTCGTAGTTCCACTGCCAAATACTTCAATATCCATCATCGTAACATCATCATCTGCATCTCTCTGGACGGGTTCGTTTCCTGTCCGCGGATTCACATCTATCGTCGGAAAATCCAAAGCACCTTCCTCGGCAGGTTCACCCTGGGGCCAAAGATTCGACAAATCAGCAAACCAGTTCGGGTCCTGCTGCGTGAAATCGAGCGCGCCATGATACGAGTCGAGGCCGAGCCCGTTGTCGCTTGGGTCCACAGTTGTTGCAGGAGGAGAATTGAATCCTGCATCGGGTGCTGTGTCTCGGTATCCGAACCAGTTGAAGGCTGGATTGTTGGAAGAAGGCGGTGGGACATTAGTGGCTAATAGCTGAGGATCAAGCGTTGAGATGTCGATGACATCCGGATCAAGGAATGCTGGGTTGAGGTTCGCCCCCTTAGAGATATTGGGAGTCAAAGGCGCGCCCACAGATGGAAGAGCAGGTAGGTCGAATGGCTGATTTAACGAACTGAGCACTTGTCCCTGAGCTGGGTCAAGGTCAAAGCCAGTGAACGGAGGGAAAGCAGTGAAAGGCCGAGCAAGACCGGGCAGGACGCGATGCCAAGGATCTTTTTGGATTTGGAGAGTAGACGAAGCCCAGGGTACGTGATTCTGGAGGAGTTCTTTATCCTGTGATTTCAGGAGGGTCATGTCTTGCACGGTCTCAACAGCTGCTTTGAGGACATCCTTCGCAGGACTCATAATCCGTTCGTAGAATACTAGGGGAATAGCACCACCCTGGCACCACTCAATGGGGACTCGATTGTTTTTGTTGTAGCCTGGGATTCCCCCAACGATTAAGCCGTGATTCAACTGGCCGTCGTACATACAAATATTCCCCGTGTCGTATTCACCACGCTTCGTATCTGTCCAGTAGACACGAGCATGTCCCTGGTAAATATAGACGCCACCAAGCCAGCGATACCTCGCTTTCTGGACTCTGTCCCCATAGCCGACATACTGGAACTCAATGTCTTTGGTATGATCAAGAACCTTTGTCCTCCCATCAAAGGTCATAGTCAAGCGTAGTGGAAGCTGACCGACCTTCCTCTCGCTCCGGATATTGTTTCCACCACATGACGTGCATTTACTTTCCTTCCTTGAGTAGAAGCATCGCTCAAGCAACTTCGACACCTCAATCCCCTTCTCATCACCCTTAAGATAGGCAGGCATCACACAGGAGCCTTGGTGGGAAATGACAAATGCACTTGTACGCGTACACCTGCACGGCACGATTCGCTCAGCGTAATAGAAACGAAATTGGGAAAAGCTCTTGGTGCCTTCTGCCCAGACAACCCATGGCGGAATAGGAGCCCCCATTTTCATACTGGGATAAGTATCGCAGAACTTCTGAAAGAACATATCGCGCTGGACGCGAGAGTTATGCTCATCCAAGACATCCCAGGAGACATTGATAGTTTCAATAAAAGCCTTCTCGATATCTTTAAAACCAGCCTGTCGGTTATTACAGCGGTCGATCTTGGTGCAACCAGCATCAATCAAAATACCCACTGCAATCACCGCATCAATAGAACAGGAATTCCCGCTCCAGATGGGACCGCGGCCACGAAGGGGATAAACGAGGCCATTTGGATCCCATGAAAAAGTCACAGGATCCAACCTTACGTTGGATATATTATTGAAGGTCCCAAGCTGGGCGTTGAACAGATCGCCAATTGACCGAGCTGTCAATTGCGGAGCAGGCACTGTGCGAGTTGGGGCACTGGGATCGCGTTCCAGGTCATTGTATGCAATCTTTACCAGGGCCCGTTCAATGACCTCTGCGACATTTCTGGGATCATAGGCGAGTGAAAGGGCTGTGTCAACAAGGGTATTGATTTGCTGGTAGCCAACAGGGGCCGTTTTGAAGAGCGGACTGTGGCTAGGGTCTGCAAAGATTGGGTCATCATATTGGCGGATGGGGGCGGCATAAATAGGATCCTCACTGCCGGAACCTATAGGTTTTGGGCCTGTATAAGCAGGAGCACCGGGCGAAAGGACTCGTCGTCGCTTGTGTGAGCTTTCCGGTGCGGCTAAGTTTCCTTGATCATATTGTAACAAAGGTTCGAAGAGGGGTGAATCTGCAGGCTCTAAAAACTCTTGAAGCCTTTCGAATACCTCTTGTTCCGATACTGGTCCGTTATTCGTTATTAATCGGGGTATTGATTGAGGTGGCTCTACATAAGTGTCGGCTGAGAAGAGAAATTGCTGGAGATAAGCATCTGATGTCTCGACATGCGCATCGGAAGGACGTTGGTACTCGGGGAGGAGAGCTACGTCGATATGGGGAAGATTTCGATACCATCGACTGACAGGTGCAGGCCGTGGTTCGAGGTTGTATTTCATTAGTCGAGGCCCGCTGTCTCGGTTGAAGTTAAACAGTTCCGTCCAGCTTTTTGGACGATGCTGCTCTTGCATGTAATAGAACAATTTCCAAAGCATTTTCTTGAGATCGATGATATTTCGTCTTTTTCTGGTGTAATGAAGAGTGACGAGCTGCTTATCGTAGTGAATTCCCCAAAAGTAATGTTTCATCACTACATCGATCTGCCCGATACCAATCTCCCGGCCTTTTGACTGGCTCATCGTAGTAAGAGTTCTAGTCAGAAACTTCCAATCTTCAGGTGGATCCTCAAGCGCCATCAAGTCATATTTCTCACTAGGCTCAGGGGGATGCTCGATATCATCTGGGTGACGTGGAAAGGGTTTATCTTGAAGCTCCTCCATGATGAAATAACACGGTATAGGTGAGAAATGACGTAAAAACTGGAAAAAGAGAATAGTATCAGGATATCAAAATAACGAGCATTGATTCAAACTGTCGAAAAAAGTAATCGAAGGACATTTCAAGCGGTGCGAGCTGGGCTTTTTAATGAAGAACGAAGTTCTCGTTGTTCAAAGACCAGGGTCAGTGCCACCCAGAAGAGCAATACCTTGAACATAGTAAGCGGGAGATCAAAGAAACACTCGAGCCCGATGTCGAATCCATAGTAGTATTCAGTTAATCAAAGAACAGAGCTGAGGACAAAGGCTTCGCGCTCCAGATTCGGTGGGGCAGCAGCGGCATGATGCTGCGTGTTTCTATAATTGTCGAGGGGGAAGGTCTCGAGGCCGCCCAGGGAACATCAAAGAAGATGTCGAGTAGAAATAGATATCACTGGCCAATCTCAAATGGCGAAGTTATGCCATGTGGACAAAGGGCACCGCATATTGACGGGGAGATCAAGTTCAAGTGCCGGACAGGGAGGAGACGTCCAATTCAAGTGAAAGATGACATTGTAGCAATTTTCCTACAGTATAAGTGCCGTCAAAGGCTTAGTAGTAAAAATATTGGCTCTGAGGGGGCTCTATCATCGAATCAACAAATCACCTGAGCGTGGTCACAAGGGAGTCCCGAGTCGCAGTGCCAAAAAGTATGGCCTTGAGTGTAGATGGAAATTCGATGAAACCATCTCAAAGCAATCGAGTCAAAGAGCTTACAGCCGGTTATTTCCCGCAATTAAAGAAATCATCTTATGGCTGAAGAAGTCAGGGACCAAAGGAAGCAATGATCATTAGGAAACAACAAAGATATCAGGGCTAGGGGTAAGATACATGTAAATAACAGAAACACTTACAGTAATATAACCAAAGGCACTCTATGGTCAGCTGACTTCACCTGATCTGCGCTAACCCTTATTGGCCTAGTGGCTCACAAGCGAGCCCTCGTCCCAAAAGGGTTAGTGCGTTAATTACCCGATCCCACAAGCAAAGTCACTCAGTTGGACTTCCTCCTCTCCATCCCTCTGTCGACAACCCATCGCGATACTCGCCCATCGCCCACCATGTGTACGTGAACACCCCTCTTTTCAGTCTGAAAGCCCTCTTATGATACAACACAACGAATGCGCAAAGAAAAAGCGATGGAAAAAGACGACGGTTCTGGAAATTGAAGGCTAACGTGCACTTCGATAACAGCGCTCGTGTCCGGCGAGAAGACGAACTTCCAGTTCATCTTGCGTCTGCTCAACACCAATGTTGACGGCAAGCAGAAGATCATGTACGCCCTGACCCAGATCAAGGGTGTCGGTCGCCGCTACTCCAACCTGGTCTGCAAGAAGGCCGATGTCGACCTCACCAAGCGGTACGTTCGAAACACCTACAACCCCCAATCGATATTTGAATCATTTCCACAAGGAGGAAAAGGATAAAAGGCATTGGAAAACTGGACAATTCGAAATGGAATGGGAATTTAAGCACAATCCCACAAAGAATCACAAACTGACAAGGATCCTACCTACAGTGCTGGTGAGCTCACCACCGAAGAGCTCGAGCGTATCGTCACCATCCTCCAGACCCCGACCCAGTACAAGATTCCCTCGTGGTTCCTGAACAGACAGCGCGACATCACCGACGGCAAGGACACCCAGGTTGTTTCCAACTCCCTGGACAGCAAGATCCGTGAGGACCTCGAGCGCCTGAAGAAGATCCGCTCCCACCGTGGTCTCCGTCACTACTGGGGTCTCCGTGTCCGTGGTCAACACACCAAGACCACTGGCCGCCGCGGTCGCACCGTCGGTGTCAGCAAGAAGAAGGGCTAAACAATTCGTGTCGTTTTTTTGCCGGGGGTTCTTGGAGGGATTCCGTTATTTCCGGTGTGTTTCTATGGGCATCCGTGGGACCTTTTTCCCCGCTGGGCTGGGTATCGACCCTGGTTCAAAAAATTGAAAATGAATCATACCAATGAAATGACCCGATCTCTTCTTACAAGTAATGCACGCTTGGCTTGGGGAGGGTGATTGTCGACGACTAAACCCTGCCAGTCCTCTGCTTTGTAGAGTAGCCTTCTAGACTGTTATGTCTGTGGGGTAGCCCTCCACTGCGGGCCATACTGATGTCTCCATCGCATCGTGTTTGTGAAGTAAACCCCACCCTCCTTAGTATACACGGCCGAGACTTGAACCATGTTGGGCTGTGTTTGTCAAGAGAGGAAGATTGAAGTTCTTTGAACACGCTGGGACTCTCATCCTTTGTGAACCTCCTATCTCTTCATAGTCATGTCATCTACGACTTGACAGAGGGTTTGGAGTGACATTTCTTAGCCCTTGCTACTGATAGTTTACAGTTTCACTTATACTATGCCTTACTACTGATCTATCTTGTTCAAGTCTATCAAGATTGATTGATTTAAAGTTGCGTGGACGTATATACTAAATAGTAAGCCACCAAATCAGGAGCAACTGATAAATCGGTTCGCAGCCTTAGATTAGGTGTCAAATTGCATGCAAACAAACAATAAGATCAATAGCACTCGGTGTAACGATAAATCATTAACGCCATACAGAGCAATTAGGTATCTAGTACCACTCACCACCAATCCAGCGGTTGAAGAACTCCAGACCGGCCTCGGGCTGATCCATGGGAACCATGTGGCCAGCACCGAAGATACGGGTGAAGGTGAAGTTGCCGTGGGTCTTGATCTGGCCGATCTTCTTGCCAACGTGCTCATTCTGTACGATCTTGAGATCCTCAAGCTCTGCAGCGGCGAACTCCTTCTGACCGGGCCACTCAAGAGCCTCGGACCAGGCCTTGTTGCCGAGCCAGTTGCAGATGAAGTCAGCGTCACCGGCGTAGATCAGAACTGGGATCTGCTCAAGGATTCCAGGGACAAGGCGGTGGTAAGGCTTGAACCAATCACCGGCGAAGAGGAAGTTACGGTTGATGTCAAAGTTGCAGGAGTCATAGCCGTCAACTTCAGCACCGACAGCGTCACGGACGCTCTGCTGACTGAGGTACTCGCTGACGTAGCCCATACCCTTGTAGCAGAGGTTGCTCTCATCCTCGCACTTGCCGCGAATGTCGTAGACGTTCTGACCGGTGCGCTGGTAAGGTCCAAGCATGGCGTTGTTACAGTAGATGGAGGCAGGAACGCAAATCCAGGGGCTCTCGCTGTTGTAGCAAGACTCGATCATGCTCTGGCAGCGGCCGAGAGCGTTGTCCATGGACTGGCAGGTGCTCTCATCGAGAACAGCAGGGTAGCCACCGTCACCACAAGCCATAGGGCGGTAGTACTCGTACTGGGTCAGACCATCGGTGAGACCGTTTCCAATGAGAACAGACTTAAGGTTGATGTTACGCTTCTTGTGAGAGAGAATCTCGGAAGCCATGACGGGGATGTAGTGACCAGCGTAGGACTCGCCAGCAATGTGGAAGTCCTGCTTAGCATACTCAGGGAACTGCTTGAAGAACAGGGTCAAGAGAGCGTAAACATCCTTGCCGGCAGCAACGGTGTCGCTGACGGAGGAGCCACTGTAGGAGTAACCGACGTTGATGGGCTGGTCAAGGAAGATAACAGAGGCATTGTTGTTCCACGAGAAGTCATTGTAGATAGGCTTGATATTCTCGCCAATAGAGCTGGGTCCAAGCTCCAAGAACAGTCCGGTGAGGGACGAGCAACCGGGACCGCCGTTCAACCAGAGGACGACGGGGTCATTTGCGGGGTCGTTGCGAGACTCAAAGAACCCTATTCGGTGTTAGACAGCTGCATGCACTGATGATATATTGCAAAACTTACAGTAGAACAGGTGCTTGTCCTCCTCGTTGTCATCCAGGTAACCACTGTACTGCTTGACGCCAGGGTCAATGCCGAGAGCACTGGGGTCAACCTTCTTAACGCGGAGGTCATAGGTATCCAGTCTGCCATCAATCTCACGCTCCTTGGTGCCATCGGTACCAGAGACCCAAATGTCCTGGACTTCGGCGCCACTGACGTGGTGATCCCAGTGGGAGGCAGGACGACGGGTGTGCTTCTTAGGCAAGGACACCATGGGATTTCCCTTCAAGGACTCCGGAAAGAAGTTAGAGACATCCTCCCACATCTTACGAGCTTCGCCAGAGAGAGACTTGAACTCCTCCTGTAGGTGCTCCAGGGGCTTGGAGAAGACGTTGGCACCCTGCTGGGCAACGTTCTCCGCATACTCCTTGTGGCCTCCAAGGACCTGTTGCAGGCCAGGGGCAGCCGCCGAAGCGCCTACCACCAGGAGAGTGGTGGACAGAAGTCTCATTGCAAGCTGTGTCTATATTCACAGAAGAATGATGGTACTGCTGGGTGGGTTGATGGAAAGCGGGTACCTTGGGATCTGGGGTCAGACAGCTCTTATCAGTAACCGATCGTACGTGAAGCTCTCCAAGAGATGGCGAGAGAGAAAGAAACACCACTCACAGTAAGGTACACACTAAATGATGATAATTGAGATGAAACTTAGGGATACAAGACAGGGCCTCGTGAGGAGAAGAAGAGGCAGGGAATCCCCGATGACGCCAGGAGATAAGCAGGTCCCGGGACTGACTCAGCCAGTCACGGGGGGGGTAGCGGCTAAGCCTTTTTCGGAAAATTCTTTCGATCGTCAGCTTGTATTCCGTACATATTCCTGGAAACAGGTGTGCATAGCCTCTCTTCATAGAATAACCCTACGCGGCTACATTCCATTCGAAATGCCTATCAACCAACCCTCCAACCAGATCAAGTTCACCAACGTTTCGGTGGTGCGCCTAAAAAAGGGTAAGTTCGAGGATAACATCGCTTGATCCAGCTAACCAGTCTCCCAATATAGGCAAGAAGCGCTTCGAACTCGCCTGCTACAAGAATAAACTGCTTGAATACCGATCAGGCGCCGAAAAAGACCTCGACAATGTCCTCCAAGTCCCCACCGTCTTCCTCTCTGTCTCCAAAGCACAAACTGCCCCGTCAGCAGAACTAGCAAAATCTTTTGGAGCAGGCACACCCCGAGAGGAAATCCTCCAAGAAATTCTCCGCAAGGGTGAAGTGCAGGTCGGCGAGCGCGAACGCAAAGACATCCTCGAACGAGTAGAGAAGGAAGTCCTGGACATCGTCTCTGGTCGCCTAGTCGACCCCACCACAAAGCGCGTGTACACATCAGGCATGATTCACAAGGCGTTGGACCAGTTGAGCTCAGCCAGTGGACAACAAGGACAACAGGCCGGAGAAGCAAACGGAAACAGCGAGGAGAAGGCAGCACAGTCCAAGAAGCCCATGTGGACCGGAGTATCGTCGAACCGGTCAGCGAAGAGTCAAGCTCTAGATGCCATGAAGGCTCTTATAGCCTGGCAGCCCATTCCTGTGATGCGGGCCCGCATGCGTCTCCGTGTGACTTGCCCTGTGTCACTATTGAAGCAGTCTGTTAAGGCTGCTCCTGGGGCTGCCCCAGCCAAAGACAAGGAGGCACCCTCGGGTGGCTCTAAGAATAAGAAGGGAAACAAGGGAAAGAAGGGAAAGCGTGGTGATGACTCGGATATTGAGGGTGGGTCTGACGCCGAAGCTGCACCCAAAGCCCCCGGTACCGTCAAGGATAAGATTCTGGCCTTGATTGAGTCGATAGAATCGCAAGAAGTTATTGGTGGGGATGAATGGGAGATTGTTGGTTTCGCCGAGCCTGGTGCATTCAAGGGATTAAATGAGTTTGTGGGTAACGAGACTCGCGGAAGAGGCCGGGTTGAGGTTTTGGATATGTCGGTCACGCATGAGGATTGAGTGGCTATTGCTCTACTGGGCTGTACATGAATACCGATATGACTGATGACAAAAGTTCGAATGAATAGATTGGTGTTTGCCATGACTGCCATTACTACCTCTCATTGCCTAGTGTACTCTGTAGTGTATAGGTAGATACAGCCAAGCCCTAACTAAGAATAAGCTGAAGAAACTTCGCTGAGAAAAAGCAAACATGCATAGTCAAGCAACATGCAAAGACTATGCCTACTAGAAGAGTAGAACCATGTCAATTTGTAGATTAGGAATAGAGATAAATAAAGAAATAAGAAATCTTATATATGACCGAGACTGGACTTGAAGTATAGCAAGCCAAAAGTATGATACAGCACATGCAATCAATATAGACAAAGAACGGACCCATCGCCATGAATGAAAGATGCAGATATTCACAGAAATGACAAAAGAAATAATGATCGTGACACATAGCAGACTGGTCAACTGCGAACCACAAACTCAGACATCCAACCCGCTCATGCCGATGTTATCACATCCAGTCACCATCAAAACCACATTCTTACCCGGACCAAGTTCTCTCGCGAGGCCAATAGCCTTCGCCACCGCGTGACTCGAGTCCAGGCCAGAAAGGATACCCTCGTGGTGCTGAAGGGTTTTGAACCCGTCCAGGGCATCCGCGTCGGTAGCCGTTGAGATTTCAATCCTGCCAGAGTCCTTCCAATGAGCAACTTCAGGGCCCACAGTGGACAAATTCATGTCTGGCGAAATAGAATGCGAGTCAAGTATCTGGCCTTCATTGGTCTGCAATAAGAGCGTGCGAGCACCCTGGAGAACACCAAGTTCACCATCTGTCAGGGCAGCGGCCATGGCAGCCTCAACCCCAACCAACCTCACAGACAAATCATGAAGAAACGGTCTAAAAAGTCCAATTGCACCACTTCCACTCCCAACGGCGGTGACGAGAGCATCAGGCTTACAGCCAACCTCCTGCATCTGGGCCGCCACCTCCTCGCCTAGGAGGCCTTGAAACGTGCGAGCCAGGGTCGGCAGTGGACTGGGGCCTACGGGGCTACCCATGAGGTAGTATGCAGACTCATGGTTGCAAACCGAATAACGCAGGGCCTCAGTGATGGCAGCACGCAGGGAGCCCAAGCCAGAGGGGGCACTGGCCGTGATAATCTTAGCGCCGAGGGCCTCCATCCCTAGCACGTCCTCACGCTGAGCATTAGCGTCATCTGCACCCATGACAATCACGCAGCTTAGACCCAGCCGTGCACACATTGCAGCGGTGAAGGCGCCATGTTTAGCAGAAGCGCAATCAGTAACGACCTGCGAGCGGCCCATCCGTCTAGCTAGTAAGAGCTGACCGACGATATTGCGAGCCTTGTGGGTTCCGTATTCATTTTGATCTTCGCGCTTTAGCCAGATTGTAGCACCATCGGCCAGGCTGGTCAACTTGGTAGCCATGTGCAGTTGGGTGTGCCGGGAACCCTGGAACGTGGCATACTCGAGCCAGAAGGAAGGGTCTGAGATAGTGGCCTCGAAGAATGAGGTCAGCTCGTATAGGAAGCCCATTATAGATTCTGGAGCAAACCGGCCCCCGTAGGAGCCGTAGCCGTCGAATGAAACCTGTGGGGCCTTCAGGGTTCCATCTGCTTGCAGGATTGGAATATACGGTATGATCAAGTTGGTGGCTGTGGACTTGGCGGATGTCTTGGACAAGGAAGTATCAGAAGCAATTGAGACAGTTGTTGCTTTTGTTTCTTCATCTGATGTGTCTGACGAGTCTGTATGTGTGCTGATATTGCAGGACGGGGGCGTCGAAGCCCTAGGTTGCATAGTGGCACCTCTTTTCATAAATGGGCTTGCAATGCGTGATTGAGGCTTTTGCGATGTTTCAATCCAACAAATGACATTCTGAGTATCTGGGGAATCGGTGGGTTCGCATGGTTTAGAGGAAAAGCAAAGAAGACGGCGAAGAGATCGAAGCATGATGCCCCACGGTATAGATCGAAGCAATTTGTTCGAGGGTGTATATAGAAGGAATGGATGCTTGGGAACAATGGACAGAATGTTTGATCGGAAGTGATACCATAGAAGTCATGCATCTAGGTGCATAGAAGTTGAGGTGGAGGACAAACATGGGATGGGGATGCATTAAATAGAGCGTGAGCGCCTCTACGTCTGGGTTGTCAGGCTCTCTGGAAGCTCGGATCTGCTCCCTGCAATAGTTTAGGGGCTGTGGCTGCTCTTACCTAAATTAGGATTTCCTTGACTATTGATCTATATGGCTCCAACTTCTTCCCAGGTTTCCCATGTTTCACCTTCCACTAGTCATACTTCTCGATTATTATGATCGATCTTCTTTGTTATTATGACCAATCATCTTTATTACAATATATACCCAACGAGCACTATACTCGATACGGCTCTCATATTCCTATTTTTCGGGTTCTAGAAGCACTGATCTGTCCGATTCTGGCACTAGGGAAAAACTACATTCTACAGCTCATTATAGATCCAATTCACATCTACGTAGGTGGAAATACATCATGACAAGAGTATGGTGGAATCGGTGTGCCCTCTTGCATATAGAAGCATATTGTGTGCTTAAGTGACATGCACTATCATCGTCAGGCATGAACGCCGAGCACACCCAGGAACCGATGGACATATGCTGTGCCACTCTCCCATGAACCCAACTCTTAGTGCCCTCTCACCACCGTTACACCAGCACTTCTTTGCCTTCCTTGAAGACTGCAAGGTTATCACCTTGGAAGATACCGTCCATCCGTTTCATCATTGGGTGCTCGATTTGTCTCGGGATCCCACTCGGATCGACTTCGGCGATCCTGGTTGAAATGATACCTAGCTCAAGGTTTTTGCAAATTAGAAGATGGCGTTTTATGTTCCATCACAGACTTGTTCGCCCAGCCATTATCTTTGTTCACCATTGGTGGTTCTCTCAATTCTTAAACGTGGCTTGTCATGTGATACGATTGACTACCAAACAATGGTTTCTCTGCATTCAGTTCATGCATGTCGCATCCATAAGAAAGCGCCACACAAGACTACATGTGGTTGCTCGTATCCGGTGGGAGATACTGAGGGCTAGATCGAGGTTGGCATGGAGCTAGAAGGCGACCAGAAGGGATCTATTGACAGAGTTATCCTTTGTTAGGACTAGCTCTTTTCCTCAATCTCAGGGCTGGTCAGGGATCTTTGATTCATCCCCGAAGACGATGTGACCTATACAGTCATTCGTAATGGGTGTTCATCTCTAAACGCCACGTGAGTCAGATCAAGGACATTCGTACCTTATATGAGGTAAGATCTTCAGCTAAGGCAGACGTCGATCCACAAACTATCGCGGACCGCCGGGCCGGGTCGCGTCTTCTTCACAAAGTTGATACCTTCGATTTCAGATTTAGGGCGTATCGTGTCATGTGACCCGCAATGGTACTTATTTTCGGGCACCTCAGCTTGTGTGGAGTTTATTAGGCTGGAACTATTTAATGAGGCGAATATTTGAGGCGTAAGTCCCACATCCTCGTAAGTGATACATCGCTGAAGAAGTGTCGATGGATCGTCAGCTCCGAGCAGCTGGGACATACTCTCCACCAGCGGACAATATTCTAGAAAACACTCTATCCCAACCGGCGATTAACCCAAAATTAGTACCAAGTGACAATAGTACGCAATCCAATCCACTCATCTGTCTTGAATCCCAAGTCGGCAATAGCAGAGACACAAAGCCTCTAGCTGACTGCCAGTATCCGATATATCGATTGCCAAGAGAACATTCAAACATAAGCAGAATTCAAACCAAGATCTGTCGCAAAGCAAGCACCCACGAGTCCAGTCCGGGAATTGAAGTACAAGGCAAACAAGCCAAACCCCAGCTTCATTTCCCCCTGTCCAACTATATAAACCCAAGTCCACCCCAGACCCAACCTCCACACAAAGTGATCTAACCTCAACATGAAAGCGTCATTCCTGTGCTCAAAACTAGGAACCAGCCACTCAAAAGTCTACTAGTAAGGATAAACAAGACGATCGAGAAATTCATTACTCGGTTAGTGAATGCCCAGACTGATATGCACTTATAGTGCGGGGAGGGGAAAGCTTGGCTCAGGCGGGGTTGGAGAAGGATTATTCTCGAAGGCTGAAGATCGAGTCTAGATCTGTGGATTGGGAGATCTAGAGCGTCTAGAGCGAGTCTGATTTGACTTTAAGTTTTTATATTGGCAGGTGGCAAGCGACATAGCCGGAAGTGTATCCGAAATATAGTGCAGGTCTATTATCATTCTTTTATCTAGCGACCTTCTATTGTATAGACATTGCAGACGATGAGATCATAAAAAAGACCAGATGCTGATCAAACCAAAATCAAATAAACCTTAAAACGGGTATACGCTCATATGCAAATGCATGACAGTAATGGCAGTCGCGACCGAGTGAAACCTCGCTCTCCGCGAGGAGACAGCAGTCAGGGACAAGAGGACAAGAGACAAGCGTGCCGGTACGCAGTCTCAGTCGGATTTGCATCCGACCGTGATCCTTGGATCAAAGGTATGAAAAAGGATGGGTAAAAGGAGACATCGAGTCGGAAGAAAGGGATCAAAAGAGGACGATCTCCAGGACGGCAGAAAGTAGGGTTATACAAAAGGGATGGTGTCTATACAGTAAAGCATAGTATAGAACATCAGTCTACGCGCAGACCTGGACGGCGATCAAGGCGCGGGTGAGGTCCTCGGGAGCGAAAGGGAGTTTCTGCTTTCGGGGCGACATTATGCACGGGGAGAGAGCGGGCGAGATGGCGCGGACGAGGGGGGAAGTATAGCGGATGGATTCCTTTTGGGCTTTAAAATCCTTGAGGTCCTCGGGGATCTCGTAGATGGAGGTCTCGTTGAGGAGAGTCATCATTGAGCCGCTGTAACTTGAGGGGTTGAGGATCGTCGAAGATTGGGAGCCAGAGTCGATTGCACGGGGCGATGATTCTGGGGCATCGTAGTCAGATGCTGATCGAATGTTAGAGGGAAGTACGAGTGTGGGGATGGAATGTGAATGTGTACCTGACATATCCTCTTGGGAATCCCCATTACCCGACTCCTCGAGGAGAACATCGGGAGCAGGACAATGAGTGGCGCAGGGCGACAGGGATAAATCCTGCGAATGAGGACGGTCGGCCGTGGCGGCGTCAAAAGACCAGGCAGCTAACCGCTTTTGGTGTTCGCGATCGAAGGGCCCGCGAAACTTGGAGGGAGGACACTCGTGGCGTCGATAGTATTCCACCTTGGGTTTTCCATCGGATTTAGAGCGGAACACCCGCTTGACCTTCTCACGGAAGTTCATATCGGAATGTGAAAGTAAACGACAAAAATCAAATTTCAAATTCAGAGAGATCGAGAAATATCAATGCGGGCGATTCCTGGCTGAGTGTCTCAGGGCATACCAATCCCAGAGTGGGGACGGACGCGGGTGTGCAAGCACGATGTGGTGGAAGAGAACAGGAACTGTATGACCATGCTTTGCCTGGAACTGCAAAAGGAAAAGAAGAGCGGAGAGATAAGAGGGAGAGAGAGAGAGGAGAGGTATAAGATAGAGGGGGAAACAGGAATTATATGGGGCAGATAAGCCCGTGGCCCCCAGAACGTCTCCGGTCGACCCATATCCGGTGAAGACATTGGGGCAAATACTACTCAATACTCGGTCGTCTATTGGTTCCATTGGTCTGTGCATGTATGGTTCTACAGGACAGTAGTGGCTATCGTAGCATGGACATGGCTGTGTTTTTCTTGCGTCTCTATCGGGTGCTATGTATGTTACACCTGCTCGATCTCTCCCAACAGATGGCGAGAAATTCTCCATCGAGCCAGTCCAAGGGACCCGAGCGCGACAGGAACAAACCCGGATGTTACGGAGTAAGTATGAGTACGATTACGGTGATACACTGGGTGCCTCGCACATATTCACCCACACACACACTCCGTAATGGAGTCCCCATCTACATCATACTGGAGTCGAGTGTGTGTTGGGACATGCAATGATCATCCCAGCATAGTCAGTGGCGCACTGCAGCGAAGTCTTCCAGAAACAAAGATCAGCCACGAGCCTCAGAGTTACATCATTAAAGTCGTGTGTAATAAAATTGACACAAGGAAAGATAGCCGGTGAAATGTCGTTGGGTCGTAGGAAGAAACCGGAAACGGAGACGCATCAAGACCCAGTGGGGGGCAAAATTCGGCACGTTTGTGCCGGGAAGGGTGGGGTGGGTCTGGTCAATGTAGCATTTGCGAGCCTGGATTTTCAACATGTAGGCCGGCTGGCCCAATGGCAAGGCGCTTGACTACGAATCAAGAGATTGCAGGTTCGACCCCTGCGTCGGTCAATCTTTTTGTTTCCCCCAACGGGGGACACAGTATTGCTGGCTGTGTTTTTGCGGACAATAATGCCCTAATCCTTGATCCCATTGACCATTGACAGGCACCCTGGGCAGTGCAGGCATGGCGATCCTTTGGCCCTTGGTACTCGTTGCTCCTCTCATTTTACTGTACTATTTTTGTAGATGATTATTAATGAAGCCCACAAGTGGACAAGTGGGCATCAACACTGGCCGTTTATGATGATGTAACCGGCTGTTTATAGCCCTAGCCCGCCACAAGGAGGAATGTAGAACACAGAAAGTATACAAGAAGAGTCCGCATTGGTATAGTCTTCCCCAGATCAGCTCAAGCCCCCTGATGGCCCCTGAAGGCGTGCAGGCACAACCCTATTTACCCGATTCAGCGTTAGGGCTGGCCAATGCTCTACAGGCACACGACATACTTCCGCGCGCAGTCAAGAATGAGCATGCAAGGTACTGAATAAGACAATAGAATAGAGAAACTAGTAGACAGAAGCACTCTATAATTATCCCTCTACTGAATCCCTATTATAAGTAAACGGCGATTATTAAGACGTTCCAGAGCTAAACACAACCGCGGAACCCAACATACCGGATCGTCATCCCTTCCCTTCTCACATACTTCTAAGTTGACACCTTCCACTCCCTGCGAACTGCTTCTACAAGTTCGCTCCAATCGCACTTTTTCTTAATTCACGACAGACACTTCTACAAATCATCCATCATGGCTAAGAAAGGCGGAAAGAAGGGCAAGAAGGGCGGCAACAAGCCCGCCGCCGTCGCTGCTGCTGCCGTCGACAAGGTCACCGACACTGCAAAGAGCATCGTGTAAGTCGAGAAAAAAAATTCGGCGCATTCGTGCCACATCATCAACGTTGCTGATCGGTCGCAGCCACCCCAATGAGAATGTCGAGGACAAGGCGCACACTGAATCCCAGCCCGAAACCGCGACTGAGACTTCCGAGACTGCGACCAAGCCCACCGAGACCCTCGAGTCCAAGGCTGAGGAGACCAAGCCCGAGGAAACTCCCGCTGTGACCGAGACTCCCGCGACTGAGACTTCCGAGACTGCGACCAAGCCCACCGAGACCCTCGAGTCCAAGGCTGAGACCAAGCCCGAGGAAACTCCCGCTGTGACCGAGACTCCCGCGACTGAGGACAAGGAGACCGCGGCCTCCAAGGCCCCCGTCGCAGAAAAGGATACAGTCGACGAGGCCGTAGAGAAGGCGCAGGCCTCCAAGGCCGGTCAAGTTGGCGAATTGGACGCTGGCGACGCCGCCGGTAGTGGTACAAGACCCTGTGAATCAATGGTCAACAAAAGCAACTAACACAAAATTTGCAGCCATCATCCCCGAAAAGACCACCAAGGAGTCGGCCATCGTCCCCGAGACCCCCAAGGAGCCCGCTCCTTCCACCGCGACCGGCGCGGCCACCACACTCGCCGAGCGCCCTAAGACTTCGGAATCGACCGCTGCCGCCCCTGCTCCTGAGCCCGTTCCCACCCCCGAGGTTGTTTCTGCGACCGCAGAGGCTGAGGCCGAGACCACTCACAAGCGCCCGTATGATCAGCCCATCTTCAACAACGAGGAAAACCTCAAGCCCCACAAGATGCCCAAGACCGACGAGGAGCAGCTCGCAGCTAGCGCCGCTCAGGACAAGGAGACCATTGAGAACCTTGCCGGTGCCGGTCCTGCTTCGACTGCTGCGTTGACCACTCCTGAACCTGTGCCTGCCACTGAGGTTTCCAAGGAGGCCCCCAAAGCTGAGGAGAAGAAGGTCGAAGAGAAAAAGGTCGAGGAGAAGAAGCCCGAGGCTCCCAAGACTACCGCTTCCTCCAGCGGTGCCAAGCCATCCTCCCCCGACGCAGTCGCCGGTGCAGCTGCGGCCATGTCCGCCAGCAAGGACAAGTCCGCAGCCCCCGCAGCCAAGGAGGCCGAGCTCCAGAAGCCCGAGGCAGCCCTGAAACGCGGCGAGGAGCCCCTGCCCAAGACTGAAGCCCCCAAGGCTGAGCCCAAGTCCGAGTCCAAGCCCGAAACCAAGGCTGCTGAGCCCGCTAAGGAAGAGGCCAAGGACGAGACCAAGACATCGGAGCCATCAGAGGGCGAGAAGGAGAAGAAGAAGGAGAAGGGCGGATTCCTCTCTTGGTTGAAGCGCAAGTTCAAATAAAGTAATCGCTATGGGAAAGAGAGAAAAGAAAAGAAGAAAACGTTGGTGTACGATATGCATGTACACGCTAGTTTGGTGGGTTGCAGACAGCTGGACAGCTGAGGCTTACTTGTTTTTTTGTTGTTTTTTACTCCCTTCCGGGGCTTGATGATACACCAGTTGAAATTATATATCAGATACAGAATCATAGTGCTTAACTTATTGCTTTCTTTCCTCTTTACCGTACCATTGACTTCTGTAGCTATATGTTGGAAGGGGCCTGAGCTATACACCGCTATTCCGGTGTCAATGCGCGAGATGGAGCGACTGTCACTTCCAGTTTACTGCATATGGAGACACTATAGTCGGGTGGAGTCGATGACGAGTTCGGTGTGTTGGCCAGGGTCTCCGTGTCTCGGCTGGACAGTTCAGAGAAGAATGACGTTCAAGATGGAATTGGAGGCTGGGATTATACGGAGACAATACGCAAGATATCGCCACCACTACTGTACTGGTATTCCGATGGACCTGTACCGACCTCTTTCTGGTCAGTCTAATTGTGCTATGTGGTTGCTGATATAATTGATCAAGAGCAATATTTCAATCCCTTGAAATTCTTCTGTCCACATTCTGCTTCTGTTTATCTTGGGTATATATAACCACAAACGTAACCTGTACGGAGTACTCAAATAAACAACTGAATAAAATCAAAATGTTGAACAGAAACATAACATCTCAGCATACCAGCATATACAAATAGGAACCAAAGAACGATGTCAGTCTACCCTTTTGCTCGATCAGGTGTGCTAACAAGCCCAGTCTATACCGGTACATATAAGACTGCCGCCCCAGGCCATCAAGCGGTCTTCAATTGTGAGGTCGATGGCTTACATTGACAGGATCGATTTGGTAAAAGGAGAATCCATTGCGAGTAGTCAGTCTTATATTCTATCGTCCTTTGTAGAGTGAGGGAGACCGTATTCAAACTGCCAGCTCATTGATATACATCTGTCGTCTATCCTCCCCTTCTTCTGCCCCCTTTCATAAGACTAATTATCCTATACACATCCCCTCACTTGTTCTCAAAATGACACCGGGACAGATGAAACAGCTGTGAAGGAAATCAACACATCGGCAATTCATCACGCCTATGATAGCCTAGACATAAAGATCAGCAATCTTATTAAACCAGACCTAGCCTTATATGTGACATTGGGCCAACAGCGGAACCTGGACTACACTCTATAGACAATTCACAGACAACTCCCATGTCTCAAGTCCGAGTTGCAGTAACCCAAGCCGAGCCAGTCTGGCCTGACCCAAACGCAACGTTTGTAAAAACGTGCAAACTCACCAGCGAAGCAGCGGAGAATGGTGCGCAAATTAGACCATTCTCTAAATGTTGAGTACCAGGGTATCCAGCTGTCCTCAAACCCAACCCATTTCCAAATCCAATTCTAACATACAATGAGTTCAAGGTCCAGACCAATCGACCCAGCCCTGACAACCCGCTACATCCAAAACTCCCTCAAGCCAGACACCCCCAAATGAAAAAAGTTCCACGACAGCGCCGCCACCTGCAAAATAGTCGTCGTCCTCGGCTTCTCAGAGGATACCAATGATTCACTATATATCGCGCAGGCAATCCTCGACGCAGACAGCGGGATCCGGCCGACTACGAAGAGAACCAAAGCGAGGCATATGGAGCGGACGATCTTTGATGATTCATTCGGTGATTGTCTAGACGGTGTAGCTGATATAGCAGCCGGCCGTGTCGGTGCATTATCTTGTTGGGAACCTATCCAGCCTTTAGTATATATGCATAGCGAGAGCAAATTCATGTTGCTGCTTGGCCGCCGCTTTTTGATGATGGGGAGGGGTTGTATTCTATGTCGCGGAATGATCAGTTTCATCGGTGACTTGAGTTAAGTTGACGAGACTAACGCTGGACTATAGGCACAACTGCCATTGCGCAACCATACACCATGGAATCCTAATCATTTGTTCTGATCACGACAACCATCATCAGCTAGGCTGGTATTGGTCTGATGAAAATGCAAGGAGGCGCGATAATGAATCGACCTGGTGGTGGTGGTTCGGCTGTTTTTGGGTCAGATGGTCGGAAGTTGACAGTCGATTATTCTGAAACCGAGGAGACGATCTTGTGTGCCACGTTGGACTCGGAGGATATACTCATGTCAAAGGCATTTGTGGATGTGTGGGGACACTACTACAGCCGGCCGGATTTGTTGTGGTTGGGGACTGAGAATGAGGTTAAGATGCATGTTCGATCAAAAAACTAGTCAGTAGAGCTGGATAGATCAGCCTGGAGAAGTGGATGTGGTAGTTGGATCAATTCATCAATTCATTCAAACTAGCGTGTACATATCTTGGGCGTTCGTGTCAATGCAATTCTCATGTCCCAGGCCCGGTTTCGTGTTAAACAATTGTGACCATGCCCTAACGCCGTATCCCATAAATCATAGTGTGACATTTGTTCTCTGCAGTTCGCTATATTTCCAGGCCACGTCTACTTTGCGTGATTAATCATTTCTGCGTAAAGATCCTCTGGGATCTTCCGGACAATGAGAACCGTCAATGCAATAATCTCCTTTGCGTCGAGAGGAGGGAATGAACGGAGAATCCTGTTCGGACTGAATAAGTTAGCATATATGGACTTTAGGATGTTAATTGACTCACCTCGGGCTGTCAAAGATCATATCTCGCATCCGTATAAGCTGGGCAACTATGCACAGAATGTTCAAGTGTGGTCCATATGCAAACAAGAAATCCCACAGATGCAGGACCTCCGGTAGTGGAGGCGTACAAGCACACAAAGTCAGTACTGAAGGGAAAGCGTAGAGCTCGGCATGCATGCCCTTAGAAAAGAGATATGCCGCAAGCTTAGGCTCTACAACCTCAAGACATCGATCAACCAAGCGAAGACCCCTGTGCACGCCATCCATAGCCCCGCGAATATACCCCGGGCATTCCCGAGTAACAAAGTAATGGAACAGAGCAAAAGCTTCAACCTCACTGCGAGCCGCGTAGAGGAAAGGCGCGCATAACACGTTCATACCCTGAACGTAGATTGCCGAGTCACTTGTAGCACCACTATTGATACTCTCCAGCTCCCCGCCAAACGAACTTTCCTCTGCAATGCTAGGCGGAGTGTTTACAAGAAGCTCCATCTCACGCCGCCGGGAGGATGTCGGACGAGACCGGGGTTTCGGCTTGGAGTCGTGAAGTTTCCATGCAACAGCATTGAGCAACCGGATCAAACTTGCTTCTGTGACGCGGCGTTTGAAGAGAGGGTCTGTAGCTAAGGTACGGAACGTATCATTGCGGATTTTGGCGTAAGCGGGGGACCGGCCGCGGTGGATGAGGGCGAGGTAGTCGTCCGTTGGCATTGGCGGGACGTTCAGAAGGATCAACCAGAGGTAAATTCGGTAGGGCGACTATAACGATATATGGTCAGTATAGAAATTATAAAGCGCAAACCAAGAGCACTCACCATGCCATCTCCATCAGCGTCCACTCTGCTGGATAGCACGAGGTATTTCAGCTCTTGAAGCCCCTCATGGGGATCTCCATTTGGAGGGCCATCGCGCAGGAAATTCTCTAAGAGCGATCGCTTCAGTCCAATCCCCGAACCTGTTTTCCGGGCAGGTCGTCTGTGCGTTGCAGTGGGTGGTGCAGCTGGAGCTTCACGAGTAGCCGCGTCGCTATTCGACCGTGCTCGACGGTGTGCCCGCGCTCGTGTCGCAGCGGCGGGCAATCCAGCTGATTCATTGTCTGTAGCGTAGGATTCAGAAGCGCGCGAGGCCTGGGTTTGGGCGATGAGCGCGCTGGAGGTTGACAGTACTTGGTGAGACTGGATCTTTCGTAGTGTTCGCATAGTTCGCGGGGAGGCGGGTATCTCGGGGGCGAGACCCCAGGAGGGTTGAGGTTTAGCCATATTTTCGTGATCAGGTCTGCATTGGGATGTCACCGGACATCTTCGGGAGAAGACGAGAGGTAGAGGTTGGTGGAGTGTATCAAGTGGCTGGAGATGTTTTCTGCCGTGGAAATGCGGAACGGGTCCAGCTCCGAAGTATACAATTATAAACATGGCATTTCATTCACATCTACATCTTTATTGCTACATGCTTAAAGCTTACATATAGAGTTGATTCATTCATAGCAGAGTTTTTTTACCCTGCAACTGCTAAAATATGAAAGACGGCCCCCAACGCCAACATAATCTCATATCTTGATACAAAATTTCAGGCTTGAGCTGGATTTCCTTCAGAATTAGCATTGTTTCCATTCTCTCCGCCCATAACATTGCGGACAAAGTCATGATACTGGAAAACCTCGCCTCTTTTGCCCATGCCAGTTGACTTTGCTCCTCTGCCGAATGCTCGTCGCCCGGTGAACCCGCTAAAGACTTCATCGATTTGTCGCTCGGTCAAACGTAACTCTCCGTCCTCTGGGGCAGTGTGTAGTAGAGCATCACGCAATTCACCGACATCAATCTGTCCATTGTCATCGTCATCAAATGCAGCGAGGGCATTGAGAAGCTCTTGCGAAGGCGACATGGATGCCATTAGCCCGGATAATGTGTTCAAGAAAGTTGGAAAGTTAATTGTCTGGCCAGATCCTGGTGGGAAGAAGCGCGAAACTGTAGACGAGGACGAGTCTTGACCTGTTCAAAACATGAATTAATTACCGGTCTGAATTTGAAACGGGATCATTTCACTTACCCAAAGTTGTAAGTACATCAATCACATCATCCTTGTTAACCAGCCCATCGTTGTCCCGGTCCAAAACCTGGAAGGCTTCTCTGATTTCCCTGACCTGGTGGGCCGGCAGCTTTGCTGCTGCATCGCTAGCAAGGCCTGCATATCCAGCAGATCTGGTCCTCAGAATCGGCGACGAGGCGCCTGGTGACTGCGCTCCTTTCGTCGGGGAGGGAGGCAGCTCTCTCTTAAAGTTCGGCTGGGGAATCGGAGCTTCGCTCTTCGGCGACGCTGATTCACGGTCTGCCACTGTGTATGACTGGTTCAGCTTGCTAGGCGATACCATGGGCGTATAGCTGCGACTGGGCGAACTCCCTGGAGTCCCTGTACGACCGGCGGAGGGCGGGGAGTTTGGAGTCGACGGGCGCCGGAAGGGCGATGCCCTCGGTGACCCGAAAGACAGTGGCGATGGTTTGAAAGTGGGATTGTTGGCCTATACCATGTTAGTCTGCACCTCCTACACATTGCATGAACCTGACGTACCATGTTGAAAGTTGGTTGCTCTGCCAAACAATGACGCTCTGCTGGAGTAAACAATCGGCGGTATAGTCGGCCCGACGGCACGTGTTCACGAACTATAGGACATCACATCGGCGTTTGGAGGGAATTGGACCTGTCAATTCGGTTGTCTCCAATAATATTAAAATGCTAACATCTAGGGATAAAAGGTTCTGATCTTTCTGATCTATTTGATCTCTTGAAGACTTCTCCAGCTGTTATCAGCTATCGTCCCCGCTGTGGAGATCGTCCTTTTTCTTTACCCCTGAACCATTCACTACAGTGATTGGCACCTGGGCAGCATTGACACTCCGTGACTTGTGCTTCTCCAAGTCCCAGATCTTGGCACTCGGTATGCTCTTCGACTCTATTTTGTCCGGAGCAATCGTCTCAATCACCTCCGAAGATGGCCACAACGCTACCATATCGCCCGTCTAACGACTCCCTCTCCGCCTCGAATAACCGCCAAACGAGTGGCCTCCCTCGGTTGTCGCCCGCGCCCTCCTTTATTGGACGCTCGCCCAGCAGTTCACACGGCTCATATCGACGGACATCTACAGAAAATGCGGTGTCTAGTTATAGGCCACGCCGGTGCAAGGCACAATACCCCCTCGACTCGCCCGAGCGCCATGTGGAATACATTTTGGTAGCCTCATTTCACATTGACCGAGGCCCAATTATGGAGCACCAATATCCCGCCGCAATCAGTGGTGATGAGAGCATGCTTGCGGAGCTGATGCTGCCGGATCAGACACATGTACGGAGTCAAGATTGGACTATATTTTTCTTGCACAAGGATACAAGCGGTGACGATGAGGAGGAACCCGGGAGTGGAAAGAAGAAAAAGCGCAAGTCGAAATACCGCGGAAACGAGGAGGGTGCCGATATTCAAGATGAGAACTTTGACGAAGCCTCCGATGACCCAGATAGCAGCGACGACGAGGGTGGTGAAGGGCCACCCTTGATGTATGTGCTGAATCTGGTCAACACAAAGCAGGATAACACCGTACGACGGTATGTCTATATTCTCTTGTTCGGTGTGCACGACTAACGATAAACAGAGGCGCTGTTGTCAAGGCTATGGCAATTTGTACGCGGCATTCATTCCTTCATATCTATAAAGTAAGCCAAATGTCTCCGTTGCGCCGACAATTTTAACCGTTATAGCCTTTGCTACTTTTGGCCCTGGAGGATTACTTCAAGTCGCCATATCCCGAAACACTAGCATCTCTTTACGACGCCGTCAACAATATGGACCTGTCCCTAATGCCGAAAATGTCCCTGCTGGAGCGCAATATTCTTCAATCCAGCAACACGAAGGAAATGTTCCTGGAAAAGTTCGAGCAAATGATTCGCCAACGAGAGGAGGAGGAAAGCCAAGATGGGGAGTGTCCACCGTCGCCTAAGAAAATGAGTCGATACGCCTTACCGCGGGACACACACGAGTACGAGTCAAAGGTCGTCTACAATGACATTCCTATCCCGGTCAAAATCCCGACTGTGATCTGGCCAGAGACTGTTGGAGATTTCTCTCTCATCAAACTCATTCAGACCTTTGCCGCTCCTCATGCTACATCTCCTCAGGCTTTCCCGGCCCATCCTCATCTGACAACAAGTGGCCAATTCACACACCCCATCATTGTTCTCGTCAACGCTATTCTCACGCAGAAGCGTGTTATATTCTTGGGACACAACCGACCTTCTGGAGAAGTAGCCGAGGCAGTTTTAGCGGCGTGTGCTCTTGCATCTGGGGGTATTCTGCGTGGATTCACTCGACACGCATTCCCCTATACGGATCTGACCAAAATCGATGACCTCCTCAAAGTACCTGGTTTCATTGCAGGAGTCACAAACCCGACGTTTGCCAATCACCCCGAATGGTGGGATGTAATGTGTGATCTGCCCACCGGTCGTATGAAGATCTCGACTCACGTCGAGCCTGCACCGGTAACAGAAGGACTTCTTTTCTTCCAGCAGCAGAACTCACTTCTGCCACACCATGCATCCAACACGACGTCAGACCCTACAGGCGACACTCTATTTATGGAAGATATCCTGCGCAGTATCACCCAGCGACATGGCGAAAATGCGATCCGAGCAAAATGGCGTGCATATATCACGAAGTTCGTCCGTGTCGCCGCAGCATTCGAGGAGGCAGTTTACGGTGCATCCAACCTATATATCATCGGCCCAGGCGAAGAGCTGTCCCCAGACAGCCCAACAGGCCAGCAAACCGATGCAAACGACCCAACCTCCCTCCGAGGCCACGGCTACGTCTGGGCTGATGAGAACGCGAAACAGCGCGAGCTCTCAGCCTCGGTATCCCGAATCGAAGGCTGGCGCAATACCCGCTCTTACTACTCCTATATCCAAGACATCGCCGCAATGTACTATCCCGCGCGACCAATCCAACGACCAGACATCCACCATCACCACGACCGCCTCCGAGCCCTAAAGCTCTCTCACTCCGAAGCAGCATCCGTCTACCTAGCCCTGTCGCACTCGGTCAAAGACTACGCAGGAATCTGCCAGCTCCTCTATGTCGCTCCAGAAAACCAAGCCGGACTGTTCTACGTGAGCATGGGCCTGTTTCACCCCGACCAAGTAGTCCGCGAAGCCACAGTGGATCTTCTCGACCGAATCGCCGCTCACCCCGCGGGTCGCCATTTCTGGACTCACGTCGGCCGATTCGCCAAATTGGGGTATATCCGTGTAAAGCGGGAGCGCGACGCCGCCACACAAAGTCCCATCTCAGGCGCTGCATCGCCTACTTTGCCTCTGAGTTCGAGTTCGGGAAATAGCTTCGGCAATGAGCCGCAAAGTCTCGTTGGTGTAGCGATGGGAGATGGTATGTCTAGGAGGAGCTGATCTATGTTTGTGCCCGTGCCTATTGCTTTTTCAACATTTTTGTCAGTGAGCGTTTTCTATTTTCCTTGCCAGATATTCATTCCCATATATGCGACGACTATGAAAAGTGTCTATGCCCATCCATGATTCAGCTGCGGCTCTGTCTATATCTTCTTGTTCTATAGTGGATAAATCAGTGCTATCGGCGTTTGAGGAATACATTGTTGATCATTTTTCCTCATGGGGGGTGTTTCAGATTCCAAATGTAACAGTAAACAATAAACAACAGAAGCAACTCTTAGCCTTGAATGATACAAAGCATGATGAAACATCGACAGATGCAGTAAGTTGAAAAGACTTAACTCATATAGACATATCACTAAGAATTAAATACAATAAAGATCGGGTACTAGAAAGCAAAAACACGCTCTTGGCTATCATAACCCGTGGCTGTCCTCAAACAGACCTAAAAAAAAAAGATAGAAAGACAGAAAGGAAACGTCTATGAACAGAAAACAAATGCAAGATCAAAACATCAAAACAGATTAGTCAAGATGGCAAGCATCAATCCAACCACCGCCGTAGACCAAAGACCCGGCAGCGAAGCAGTAAAACTAGCCCCAGATATGACATTCGAACCCACAGTGACATTGGTACTAGCAAATTCAGAGCCACAATGCGAGTTGATAATCCTCGCAGAGGGAAGGTAAGTAGTATCAAGCGACTGACCATCCTTCTTCGCCCAACGAGCAAAGAGAGCCATAGTCGCCTGCAGACACTGACTACAAGTCGGTTCCGCACCAGCACTCAACGCACTCCCAATGGGCATAAAGTAAACATTATAATCATCAGGCGCGGAAGAATTCGACACAGCATCGACGAAACAGTAATCCTGTGTTGACGGGCTAGTCAAACAAGTAGCACGGTACATAGGCTCATACGCAACCAAGTCCTTATAAGTGCCCGTAACGACTGAATTGCCATTGCCGTAGTCCTCGGCGCAGTTATCGCTGCCGAGGAGATCTGCCGCGAGGGAGCTCATGATTGCGGAGCATTGGGATACATCCTGGGAGCAGGAAGCGTCGAGGACGCGGGATGTCGCGGCGGCTGAGGTTAAGGTGTGGAAGAAGGAATTGGAGTTTGTGAGGAGAAGGGAGACGGCGTGGCAGTCCGTGATTGTGGAGTTTGCGCGCCATTTCTTGTAGAAGTTTATGCAGCTGGTTGAGTTGGCGAAGTCGTAGGAGAGGGTATCGTATGGAGTTGGGAGTTCTGAGGAGGAGGATGTCGATGCTGTGAGGATTCGCCGCTGTAGGGCTTTCTCGTGTGCTAGATGTTCTTTTGATCTAAAAGATCGCTGTTGATCGGCGATCTCTCCACTCGGTTCCCAAGCCGATCGCGCAACCGCATCAGGTTGATCTGATGCCTCCACCGGTTGTGCCAATGTTGCGAATGTCGATATGCAGAGGATTATTAGGATTAAAGTGGCAAAAAGAGGTCGTGCCATTGTGAAGCCTGGTTGGCTTGGCCGGTATTGGCGAGAGGTACTTCTGAATCTCGGGAACGACAGACAGTGGCAAGGACATGGGTTATAATGAATGAGGTTTGCTTTGAGCAGGACGCGATTGGAGTTTGGTCGAACGAATGACGGTGCGCTGAGCGTAATAAAGAAAGAGGGTTAGGAGTATGCAGCCGGCTTGGACATGTCGCCGTTACAGGACTCTGAAAGAGATGTCAAGATGTTGAGGTCGAGACGAGATGGGGTCCCAGTAATATTATAAAGGTTAACGCGATTTTAGGCCATCAGTAAACTTAACAATTGAAGCAGCCAAGGCCGAGAACCTGTCCGTGCCATGCGCTAAGACCGGAACAAGGCAAGCTTTCGTCTGTTGGCCGAAACTAGACTGTTCTGTGGGACTTCGGCTCAGGGGCAACTGCATCATCCCGTTAATAGTGCTCCATAGCCAAGTATAGTTCGCGTTGTATATTGTACTATTGCACGGCATTTGCTTGGTTTGAAATGGCAACGGCTTTGATACCGACATTGGTTCCGACTTTTAATTCCGTGAACTGGCGGATTGGCGGAACATCCCTGAGCACAATCAGCCTCAAAGGATTGGCGTCTTGGGGATCATCCGGTCGAGACCAGTCGATGCGATACGCCTGAATCAGGCATCTTGTCGACCAGCCGGAATCTGTGTGACTCCATCTGAAACTGAAGGGAGAGTTTGCAGGTAAAATGAAGGCAAGGGGACTCGCACGAGTATGGTACACGTTCTGACCAAGGTTAAAGCGATGAAAAGTGATGGATCAATAATCTATCAGTATGAAGTATGAAGTATCAAGTATCAAATATCAAGGATTATATCATATCAAATTATCAAGTACAATGGGCTACTAAATGAATGCACATGTAGATGTTGTAGTTGTGATGGAGAAAGTGGGAAGAAATCGTCGACCGCCAATTAGGTAAGAGCGAATTCGGTGACTCCCCTCCCCCCACAGATATCGATATCTAGAATGTACATCATTTCCTGCATACCCTTGTATTCTCTACTTTTTTATTATGGACGATTCATTGGTACCTGAAACTCGGGTTTTGGCTGTAGCTAGCCATGTAAGTTTTTAAATTGCCTCCTTTCGGGCTCCGAACTGACTCTCTCCAGGTGGTCTATGGGTATGCAATCCCAGTCCCTGATATTGATCAATGTCACCAAAGCACTAACACCCACTAATAATCCAGCCATGTCGGAAACACAATGGCAACATTCGTCATGCAATCACTCGGCTGCGAAGTGGCCGCCTTGAACACCGTTCATTTCAGTACGTTGCAGTCCGGCCCTGCATCCGAAGCCAGACTCACCGGAAATTGCAGGCAATCATACGGGCTATCGCCAATTCAAGGGGACTCGTGCCACCGCCCAGGAAATTTCAGACCTCTATCAGGGGTTGTGTCAAAGTAACCTCACAGACTTTGATGTCATGCTATCGGGCTACGCCCCGAGTGCCGCAGCAGTCGAATCGGTAGGCACCATTGGCATTGACCTGCAGCAAAAGGCTGAAAAGAAGCCCGGCTCTTTCTTTTGGGGTGAGTGCTCCATCTGGCCTGTGCATGCCTGCACAGACGCTGATAGTGGGTACAGTGTTGGACCCGGTTATGGGCGATCAGGGAAAGTTATATGTCAACGACGATGTGGTCCCGGCATATAAGAAGATTGTTCCTTTTGCAGATTTGATCCTCCCAAATCAGTTTGAAGCCGAGTAAGTATCTAATGTACCATGACTCACAGTGTCTAATGATATAGGGTTCTCTCTGGCATCAACATTACCTCTCTTGCCACGCTGGCTGAGGCCATCACAGCCATTCATCGCATCTATTTAGTCCCTCATGTCATCATCACCTCCGTTCAGCTCTTCAAGCTCTCTCAATCTGGCTCCACTCCATCCCCCCCGGAGAACTTCTTGACAGTGATCGGCTCAACCACAAAATCAGACGGCTCCCCTCGTCTATTCCGCGTCGATGTTCCCGCTCTTGACTGCTTCTTCAGCGGAACGGGTGACATGTTCGCCGCATTGACTGTCGCCCGACTCAGCGAAGCCGTTTCCGCTGCCAGCAATAACCTCCGCGCCACCAAGTCGTGGGTATCACCAGACAGCGTTGCAGCAACTGATCTCCCATTAGCGCAAGCAACCATTAAAGTCCTCTCTAGCATGCACAGCGTGCTAGAGCAAACCATGGAATCGCGCAACGCCGAACTGGCCAAAGCAGTCCCCGCACAAAATGGCGACCTGATCGCCGAGGAGCAAGCGAAACGGGATTATCTACGCCAAACCAAAGCCGCCGAAGTCCGGCTAGTCCGGAACACGCGAGTGCTCCGTGATCCCAAAATCCAATTCAAGGTACAGGATTGGCGGAAGGAGGACCTTCCCGCACATTTGCAGTAGGGCGGTCCCTTGATCTCATGATGCATACATATTACCTGCGACATGATTGGACGATAGAACTAGACGGGAAGTTCTGGAGCATAGCAGTGGTTTCGGGTGGACTCATTCTTACCGAACCTTTCGGTCTGTACATAGATTTACTTCTTAGATCAAGCCATGAATGTTTTATCATTGTAACGTCTCACGCGCGTGTCAATCGTAACCAACCAGCCAGTCTATTTTATTATCCCATTTACCTTTTTGCAACCCAACGACATTTGATTTAAACGCCAGTACTGCCGAAACCACCGGCACCACGGACGCTCTCCTCGAGTTCCTCGACGACGGCAACCTCGGGGGTATAGATCTATACAGAAGTCAGACAAGCAAGCAGATTGTGTATAGTTAGTTAACTCACCCGCTCCAGAACCAGCTGGGCAACACGATCACCGACCTTGACTATAGACACAAGACATGTTAGCAAACATCCCACATCAGTTGAGATTAAAACTCAGAATACATACCCGGAAAATCGACATCCGAGTGGTTAAACAGAAGAACCTTGACCTCACCGCGATAATCCGCATCAATGACACCAGCACCGGTATCAATGAAGTGCTTAGCAGCAAGACCAGAGCGAGGAGCGATACGGCCATCTACCACAGCATTAGCGACCCAATCCAACAGTGATATCCCAAATCAGACCAAGATTAATGCAAATCATAGGTATAGGTGTAGCGACATACAAGTGCCCTCAGGAACAGCAATAGCAATCCCAGTATCAACAGCACCCTTCCCCTTAGCAGGAATAACAGTCTCCTTGGCGCTGTAAATATCATAACCGGCAGCAAAAGCCGAGCCGCGCGTAGGCGCCTGGGCCGAGTCGACCAGCTTCTTCACCAGCAGCGGGGGAAGAGGCTGGCTAATGGAGGTCACGGCGGGGGCAGTCATGTCTGCGGTCTCTGTCTTGGTGCGTTTTGCGAGAGGAGAGGTTGGGAGGGAGGGAGGTTGACGGGCTTTGGAGACGGATTCAGAGACTGGGGGGGTTGTCTCTTTGGTCATGGTATTATAGAGGAGGTGAGAGATCGAACCTAGAGAGCCAAAGTGGTCAGAATTGAATTGCGGTGAGTCGCGTTTCACCGCTGGGACGCGCGCCGCGGCTGTTTGTGCTGTTTGTTCTTGTCCCCGCTTCCGAGGGAATGCTGGGGCCGAGGTTCGTGCCGTCGGTTACTACATTGATTTGACTACTTGTACTTTAGTTCTGCTCTGCGTTTCTACGTCTTATTCGTTCTGTGATTTGGTCATTATGGCAGGAGCTGTGCGCCAACCTATAGATATCCCCTCCTTGGAGCGGTACATTGACCAGACTGTACCAGAGCTCAAGACTCCACTTGATGTCAAACAGGTAGGCAGCCATATTACTGTTAGCATAGCTTGACTAACTTGTTAGTTTGGCTTTGGCCAATCTAATCCTACCTACCTCCTTACCACCACCGATGGAAAGCAAGTTGTCTTGCGGAAGAAGCCTCCGGGCAAGCTGCTCTCCAAGACAGCTCATAAGGTCGAACGAGAGTACAAGATCATTCGGGCGTTAGGGGACACCGATGTCCCAGTACCCAAGGCATACTGTCTCTGTGAAGACAATGCAGTTATCGGAACGCCCTTTTATATCATGGAGTTCCTGGACGGGCGACACTTTACCGACCCGGCCATGCCTGGAGTGAGCGGAGAGGAGAGGAACGCACTGTATGTCATCAGCCATCTTGGGCAGAACTCGGGTAGATACTAACCAAAGCAGATGGAAGAATGCGGTCCAAACCCTAGCGAAATTCCACAGCGTAATTCCCAAAACCGTCGGCCTCGAGACCTTTGGCAAACCAAGCGGCTTCTTCGACCGCCAAATCGCAACCTTTACCACAATCTCCAACGCACAAGCTGCAGTCCGCGACCCCGACACCAACGAACCAGTCGGCGAACTCCCCCACTTCAAGGACATGGTAACCTTCTTCTCAAACAAGACAACCCAGCCCGCCGACCGAGGAACGCTCGTGCACGGGGACTACAAAATCGACAACATGATTTTCCATAAGACAGAACCACGGGTAATTGGAATCCTAGACTGGGAAATGGCCACAGTCGGGCACCCACTGTCAGACTTCTGCAACCTAACTAGTCCGTACATAATGGAAGGCGCCGACTCGCAGCTGGAACAATTCAAACCAGGCGTGCTGTCCGGACTGCCCTCGCGCGCGGACTGTATTCGCTGGTACGCCGAGGTATCAGGGTATGATACTCGCGGTGATATCGCGTGGGGGGATGCGTTCTTTGCGTTCCGGGGCTCCGTGATTATGCAGGGCATTGCGGCCCGGTTTGCGGGGCGACAGGCGAGTAGTGCTCGGGCAGGAGACTATGCGAAAAGAGCGAAGCCTTTTGCGTTGGGGGCTTGGGAGAGGGTGAAGCGGGTGAAGGGGGAGGGCGTTAAGGGGAAGTTGTAATCTCCCACATACCCTTATCCTCACTTCTACAGAGTCTACAGAGTCTACAGGAGTCATAGTCAATAGTAAATAGCAAACAGAGTTGAAGCCTCAGAAGTAAGCACTTAACCCCATTCGTTCATATGCAGAGGAATCACGACGTGGCAACCCTCGGGCCTTTATAGATGTCGGCCGTTATGATTGGTCAGCGGGCTGCGGCTCTACGCGTAAGTGAGGCTGAGGGGGTTGAAGAACCCACTTTACAGTACCATACCGCTATCTTTGCTCGGTGCGGCTGATAGGGGTCACCCGTAGTGGTTATGCATGTCCAGTTATAGAATAGTGTACTATGCATGGACACCTGGCTAGCTGGCGAAGTGGCTAGCTAAGTGAGGCTGGGTGAAACGTGGATCTGCCAGCGTTGAGAGGGGGTGGTAAAAGTACGTTACCTGAAACGAACGAAGCCGTCAGTAAGCCCCCTGTGGGGCCCGGTTGTTGACTCCGGAGTAGCGGTGGGACTAGCCGACAGGGGAGGATTAGGGGGAGAGCAGGGAATAATAGTGTGTGTCAGGGTAGGCTAAGGTAGGAGCGAGGGTAAGTAAGAGAGAATAAGTAAGAGAGAATAAGCAAGAGAAGAGACGAGACAAGTAAAAATAAATGTGATGATATATATTACTCTTACCATACAATACCACATGCGGCTCACTTCCCCCCCCCCCCCGAGTTTCTTTTCTTCTCTTTTTCTTTTCCCTTTTGTCTTTTTTCCTTTTCTTTTTCTTTTTCCTTTTTTTTCCAGTCTATTTTCTGCCTTTTGCATTCTCACGTGGAGCTCTGAGCCTCTGACTTAGAGACCTTAGCCTCCCTTTCTTTTTGCTTTTTGCTTTAGCTCTCTCTTCTCTCTGTCCTACATGGCGTCTTGACTTCGGATCACTTGAGCCTCACGGGACCCATTCACTACCCGCTCTCACCTTTCCGGGTAGGTTCCTCTAGCTCTACTACCTGGCTCTCCCTCTACTTTACCTCAACACATCTCATATCTCCCTTCTCTCTCTTTCTTCTCTCACTTCTATCTCCCCCTTCTCCTTTTCTCCTCGTATGCCATGCCTAGCTTGTTTTGTTTCTGCCCTCGGATCATCCTCTGTCCGTAACCCCTCATCTGCCTCAACTTAGCTCCTCCCACTGTTCTCTCCGATTTCTCCGATAGTCGGCCTTTTCTCTAGATCCTGATCCTATATCTAACTTCGATAGGCAATTCTGATGTGTCATCTCTATTCTCAATTATAAAGTGCTGATGCACTTCATTGATGACGTCCGACATGTATGACTCGGACGATGCCTACAACAGGTCGCCAGGCTTAGAGGCGACAAAGGTCAACTATGGAGACAATCCTTCACCACCGCCATTTGTTCCAACCGGCCCTAAGGATGGCGCGACGGGTTCCCGTAAGCCCGCGCCAGAGACTCAGACCTCAACCAGTGAGGGCGACCGAGTGCTGATGGGGTTTCTAGCACCGAACCACCCCGAAATTGCCATTTCTGCTAGGGAATCTCCGCTGGATTCGGATCGCAAAAGCCAAAAGCAACCAAAGGACTTTGATCCCAGGAAATTGAATCCTTTCGCAAAGTCCGAGAAAGAGGAGAAGCCGCTCCTGGCTCCCATCCCAAAAGAGGAATTGCGAGAACGCTTGCCATCCATTAGTGAACGACCTGCGGATTTTCCTTTTAGCAAAACACCGCCAGATATCAAGTCGCGACTACCATCATTACAACCAATTCAGGCGTCGCCCGCGTCTTGCGCAAACTCCCCAGAGAGCAGCCAGACTCTGCCTTCAATTCGCGAAACACTCAGCGCATTGACAAACTTTGGACCACATCCACCACACCCTCCACGCCCGTTCTCATCATGTCCAACATCAACAACATCAGGAAATGATTCTCCTTACGATCGACCATTCCCGGCCAAGTTTCCCATTCCCCCGAGCCCGTACTCTCACTACTCGCCTGTGAGCATGAAAGACTCCTCTACCAACCCTTCTCCAGCTTCACATGGGGCTTTCTGGCGCGGTCCTCAAACAGAGATTCTAACAGCTCCAACCCCGTATGAGGCATCACCAATGTCAGCCACAAGCCCTACTAGCTACCCTACACCGACTGAACAGGTCGGGACAGGGATGAGTGACCGTGTCTCACTTGCAGCCTCGACTCCACAGGCCAATGGGGGGCCGACGGGTAGTTACAAGTGCACTCATCCGGGGTGTACTGCGGCACCATTCCAAACACAATATCTCCTCAAGTAAGAGCACAAATAAATCGCCAAAACCCCTCTAACAAGTCCCAGCTCCCACGCCAATGTGCACTCCCAAGACCGACCCCATTTCTGCCCAGTAGAAGGATGTCCACGCGCCCTCGGAGGCAAAGGCTTCAAACGCAAAAATGAAATGATGCGCCACGGCCTCGTCCACAACTCCCCGGGCTACGTTTGTCCATTCTGTCCAGACCAACAACACAAATACCCCCGACCCGACAATCTTCAACGGTTTGTCCTCCGAGCCTCAATCTGACGTCAGCCGAACTAATGCCCCCAGACATGTCCGTGTACACCACGTCGATAAGAACAAAGACGATCCTATTCTGAGACAGGTTCTCGCTCAAAGGCCTATTGGCAGTGCCCGTGGCCGAAAGCGAAGGATGAATAATACCTGACATCCTTCTTTATATCCTATTATTCCCTTTTTTTTTCTTGTTCCTATTGATCTCCGGTGCACCCTTTATCTTGACCCTTCCTCGTGTACCCCGGTCCTAAGCTCAGTACGACACAGCATGCAACCCTGGCGTTTTGTTTCACCTACCATCATCACTACCATCGCTATCTACCACTTCCTACACCTCTCTATATTCTCTTTCGCTATCTTTCTCACTTCCTCTCTGTCCTCTATCAACATTATGCGTGACGACCATCCAGCTCAGCCGTGATACCTTTCTGCTGTTATCTTTTACTTTATTAGTATCCTATGTTTATTTTTGATCCTCATCCTCACCTTGATCTTACCCTCTGATTTGACCTTCTGCAATGATACCATCCGTTGTCCATTGTTAGAAATTCATGATGTTACATGGGCCATTCGTTTACCCGGAGTGTCGTGTTGTTTACTATACTATACTATCTTTGACCTCTCCTCTATTTTTACGTTCACTTCTTTATATATTTTGTCTGATCAATTGCATTGGGTTGCCTTTACATTCGCTTTCAATTGCTACTATGATTTCAGTGCTGTGTGTTTAGAGGAGAAAAGAAAAGAATGGAAGAGAGAATGAAGGGAGTGGAGGGTGTTGATCATTCCCGTAAGTTATGCGTTTCTTCATGGTTCAAGTGGGCCGCGACACGTGGAAGGGAATACGAGGGATCTACAGCAGCGGGAAATTTATCCCTGCTTCTATGCGGTCTATTGTTTTGAGGCTGTACGAGGATACGAGGATACGAGTCCACATATGTACACACCCGCTTGATACGCACTACATCACTTTATAGTTTAATTAAGCCCAGAGCGAGGAGTTTAATTATTACAGCGAGACTCTACTCCATACAATTATGACATCTAAGATGATGAGACAACACCGAGAAAAAAGACTGAATTGTATTATCAAGAGAAGGTAGAAGGAAAGGCACAGATGCCACTAAAAGGACTCTACGAAAAAAAGAACCAAATATGAACAATAAAGTGCATTTTCGGCCGGTTATAAGAACCAAAGCCAGAATCCCCCCCCATGGAGATAAGTAACTACCCAAAACCAGGTATATGGGCACGTTAAAAAGGCCAACCAAAAACCCAATACCAATACCAAACCAATACCAAGAAAAAGTTCCATAAGCGCTGGCATCATGAGAAAAGATCAAAACTAGCTAGAGAGAATCATATCGTCGCCTTAAAAGCACATTCAAGAAAAGAACAAAAACAAACATAAACAAGGCATATCAAAAGACATCGGACCGTGACGGGGAGATCATCATATCAACACGGAGAACACTCGTTTTGTACATGTCGTAGCAACGTGGGATGAACACAATGAAAGGGGAGGGGGGAAGAGGAGATTGAATCAGATCGTGAGAGTATGAGGATTAGGTAAACTCCACACCATGTGCTTGCTGCCTTTCTTGGCGGGTACGGGCTCGCTCGGCACGTCTGCGACGGCGGTTGTTCGCGTATGAACCGCTGACATCCGTGCCGGTATATGTAGGCGAGGTGATACTACCCGGGCCATAGGGCATGCTTGAAGGGGCAGGGTTGGGGATAGGAGGGGGTGGCGGCATGACGCTGACTTGCGATTGGGGTGCTGCCCATGAAGATGAGGGGGCCATGGATGCTTGGGGTGGAGCGAGGGGAGCTGCAGCTGCAGCGGCTTGTTGACGTCTTATTTCTGCGTCTTGTCGGCGTTCCATTTCTTCGACGCGGCGCCAGCGATCATCGTGGGCGTCTTCATGGCCGGATAGGGAGCCTATGCTGCTGTTGCGACGGCGGGAGTTTCGTCGTTCTCTGCGGCGGGCCTCGCGACCTGCCGCTGCTTCCTCTTCTGTCAGTCGGCGGAGGGTTACATGGCGTCCGTCGTTGTGCATCTTGACTTTGACAGATACTGGTGGTGACTCGACATGGTCGTCGCGGTGTCGACTGTTGCTTCGGCTGTGGCGAGAAGTTGCTCCAAGCGCTGCTCCAGCGGCAACAGGTGCAGCTAGCTCTGTTGCATCATGGGAAAGACGAGAGTGACGAGAAGGAGGCCGTTCAGGCCGCAAGTCACCAGAGAATGTTTGGTGAGCTGGCGGCATCGGCGGTGGCATGTCCGAGACGATGCTACTATGAACGGCGCCCGAAGCCATAGGTTCAGCCGTGAGAAGAGATTCTCCATGCGATACATGTCGAGGTGGGCGGGTCAGGTCTGTTTCAGTGAGATCACTTTCAGAGTACGAGCTGGTCCTTCTTCTTGGGTAGAAGCCTCCTTCTCCCTGAGGACGTCGCTTGCTGTTTGCTCTCTGTAAGGATTCATCGATGTCATCTTGGCGACGAATGTCCTCCAGCCGCTGTTTCTCTTCCTCGTCTTTCTTGTTGCCACGACTAAACAATCTCTTCACGGCAGCAAAAGCACCGGCACCCAAAATTGCGTCTTTGACGCCAGATGACTTTCGCTTGGGAGGCTCAGTGAAGTATGTACTGTTGTAATAAGACGAACCCGGGCTTTGTGATCTGCTCGGGAGACGGCTTGGTGGTCGGTTGAGTGGTGTTCGATGGGTTGGCTCTGGTCGGCCATCTTCCATCCTGCTAAGCGACTCGTCTGTGTAGCTATTAGTGCGCGAGTGAGGAGCCGGTCTATATCGACCGGACTCGGCATCATCTTCACGCTTCTTTCGACGATCCCACCACTTCTTGGCTAAAAGACCAGCCCCAGCTAAAGCACCAATTTCGAGAAATTTCTTACCGAAACCACCACCATGTTTGGAAGACTCATCCGAGTACTTCTCATCCGAAACTGAGGTGCGGGATTCCTCATAGACCTGACTGGCGTGGCGACTGCGAGGACGTCGTCGGAACATTGAAGCCAGACCAGCGGCCATAGCACCCCCAGCAAGTGCTTCACCCATGTGTCCACCGCCATGGTGCTCCGAGACCTCTGATGGTCCGGTGTAATGGCTGTGACCGCCACCATGCTCACTCCCCATATGATATCCTTCGGTATCATATCGATACGAGAGTATAAAGTAGGCAACCAAGTAGGCGAAGGCTGCAAGAGCGAACAAGATGAAAAGGACCTTGGGCGAGCCATAAAGTGTAAGTCCCAGTGGGATCTGAACAATTCCAAGAACAACAAGGGCACGACCCATCCACCGGTGAAACTAGGACACGTTAGATCGAGTATCACTTCATTTTCATTGATACTTACCACCAGCTTCAAGGGAACATGAACTCGTTGTCTCTTGCTCTCCACTTTATGAACAAACCAGCCCCAGAGTACTTGGAAAATAACCAAAACGTAGATTGCTAGGCCAATTCCATGGTGAGGGTTGGTCAGGCTTCTTTCTGGCCCAACTGCGAACCATCCAAGCACAAAGACGACAGTGCTCAGGAGCAAAGTCAGCACCTGACCCCAAGCATGTAATTTAAATGCCCAGTATGGATTCCATCGGGAGTAATATCGGATTATTAGGGTTGATATAGGCACGATGCCCAAGAAAACAATTGCTGCAATAACGCCGTGCGCGATGATGATAGAGTGGTAACCGGCCATATCTTTGAACCGATTGCCCATGCCTATAATAACTTAGTAACGAAACAAAAGAACAAAGGGATTGTCAATAGATAAAATTCCTACCATTGTATCGCATCGTCTCAAAGTTGACACCCATCAAATTGGGTAGCAAGAACGTATCTCGCCCTGAGTCCCAGGTGCCATCTCCAACATGTAGAGTGTTTGACGAGTATGTGCTGCTCCCCGCAGCGGCGAGGCCCGAGTCTGACATTTTGCGTCCGATTCTTCGAATACCACACGTTCTTCAATCTGGAATGTCGGAGTTACCGAAGGAGATCTGTCGAGATCCCCTGATCCGAAGAATGCACCATGCGACAGCGGGATTGGTATTGAGATTGGAATGCTGAATGACAAGAGGCCCGACGAATTGTGGACTGTCCAATCAATAGGTTCGGAATGGGGTGTTTCACAAGATCTAGGTAGGATAGTCGAGATGAACGAGAGGTGAGGATAGGGAGGTAGGAGAGAACAGGGGTGAAGAATGATAATATTGGAGATGAGGCCGTAACCAAAAACCAAAGATCTGGGAGGAATCACAACAGGAGCTGACCGATTCCCCAGTCAACTGTTTGCTATTTCGGGTTTAGCGTGACAACACATAACCCGGACAACGGCTGACTCAGCCAGCTATATGAAACTGACCGCCTTCTATTTTGGGCATATCTTATCAGCTGATCTTATCATTGCGTGCTCCACGCGCCAACTTGTTCAGACACCCTCGTCTCCCCTCGTTTCCTCTCGCCTCTTCTCTTCCTCTCCTCTTCAAGGATGAGGTCCTAGACTGATTCAACATGTCCCCTCAAATGGAGGTGTTCATTAAAGCCCTCTCCCGGTTCGTGCCATATTTACCTGCCACTTACACACAGCTAACCTTAATAGGCTCCTAGGGTGGTCATAGTGAGTTCCGCATCCCTCCGATTGAGTCACCAGATCACAACTAATCCCAGCACAGTATGCTATGTTGGTCAGGGTCTTTCTATCCCCAACCTCTCACCAATATCAAACGCAAGTCTACGGTCGGCTTATCGATTGACCTGTCCACAATCAATCCATTGGGTTTCGTTTGCTATGCGATATACACCGGCGCATTTTTATACTCACCAGTAATTCGTGCGCAATATGCAGCCCGACACCCCGTCGCCGAGGAGCCGACAGTCCGGTTCAACGATTTTGTATTTGCGGCCCACGCGGTGGTGCTGACCCTCATCATGTATACACAATTTTGGCCATTCATCTGGGGTCTGCATGTGTCCCGCTTTCAGAGGATTAGTTGGCTGATGGCCGGTCTCTTTTGGGGATCTGTTCTGGCTCCTGTGGTGGTTATGTGGATTGTGTTAGCGCGTAGCCCGGATGGGGGACATGATCCTTCATCCTGGGCGTGGATTGACGTGGTAAGTACAGACATGTGGAGTGGAGATATCGCACCATGATTTGGAGAGAGAGAGACCTAACCTGCAACCAGATCTATTCGTTCTCATATGTCAAACTTCTCATCACCATTGTGAAGTATATGCCGCAGGTGTGGTTGAATTACCAGCGCAAGTCGACGGTGGGCTGGAGTATTGGGACTATTTTGCTGGATTTGGCCGGTGGTGTTCTTTCGATGGTTCAACTGATACTAGATTCCAGTCTTCAAAATGATTGGAGTGGTATCACTGGTAACCCGGTCAAGCTGCTGCTCGGCAATGTTACGATCTTCTTCGACATGATCTTCGTGATCCAACACTATGTCTTGTACCGGGAGGACTCGAAAAGAACGCCTGGCCCCGGCGTGCGAACACCACTCCTCGCTCAAGACGATCCTGTGAGAGCCCAGGCATGAGAGCCCAGGCGGAGTCATACATGGGGGCCAAATCCAAGACATGGGGCAGTTCTCTATTTTTGTAGCGTTAAGACATGGGGTCGGGTTCCGATCGCCGTCTTACAGACCTTGGCGATCTAAGGCGTATAAGACTTGATAGATGTACAATGTTTGAGACAATCCAAGATGGAGCGAGTGCGAGCTCCAGCGAGAAAAGTATGACAGAATGGCCCCCAAACAGCAATGCATATGTATAAGAGGCTCGAAGTAAGACACCGCTACTCGGATTTGGGGGCCCCCAGCATCTGCCCCTCCAAAGGCGCATATAATTGGTCCAGCACAGGGATAAGCACAAAGTTCTCTTCTTCACCCAATCACTTCACGCAAAACAGCATTGCCGGGATCCGTTGACGGTTCTGACCGTCGGTGTCGGGTTTTGGGGCTCTAGGCACTGCCATAGCTGAGCCAAGATCCGCAGTCCTATCCCCTTTGGATCATTCTTCTTCCTCATTCTGTTCGCTATTTATGAGTGGCCCGCGCCGGTTACTTCTTCAGGGCATGATCGCCCGTATCTTGATAAAAATATGTGAATCATCTTGAATTCCAGCTCCCCGTGGTGCGTATTGCGTGTGAGAAACCAGAATACTACCCTTAGACGAACGTAACGTTGGATCTGACTCAACGGACTGAAAGCATTCCAGGGTCGAAAGAATAGTTGTGGACTCATAATGGAGTACAAACATGAGGTCGCCACGTTTCAGGAATAACGTGTTACACTATTCAACTACATAAGGCTGGGGCTAGGATCCCGGACAGTTGGGCGTCGCGTGGCTTCCCAGGGCCAATCAGCGACGGAAGTAGGACGGACCCTGTCCAAGATCGCAATGAAAGCCTATCCCATCAGCCCTAATGCCGTTAGTAGAGCGCACCATACTTCTACAAACGACTAGTCTATGCAAGTCCCGAGTGGATCGTCATTGCCAAGGACTATGCAACCCTGGGCTGTCTGTGATTCATTCTGATTCAAAAAGCCTCGAGTATTCAGCTGCATTATCATTATTTCCTGAGCCTGCAGATCTCAAATTCCTATGCGGAACGCCTGGATCTTAGGATTACAGCACTGCCTCGCGTCAATACAGCATAAATATAGCTGCATCTGCTAAATACGAGCCTCGTCGATCTCCGGAAGAACCTTATAACGCTTAGGGTTGTCTTCTACTTCACTTCTCACGCTTCACTATTTTTCTTCGACTTTTTTTACAATCCAATTGTATGAGAGGGCTTCCCTCCACGGTCATCTACTTCAGCCAAGGCTTGCTCTCACATATGAGTCCCAACTCTTCAACCATTGCCTTTCTATCAACATCCAACATGTACTCTCGTAATAAAAAACAAAACAGCATGTATTCCACTGTACCTGACAGATGCCGGAAATTAGAGCCATGCATGGCGGGCCTAACAGCCCACCCTGAGCTCAACCCTATGCCCTCCGGCATACAACCGCTGGACTTTATGGACACATCAGACTCACGCACGTTCCTCGCACCGGAAAACTATTCCTCAGTCAGACGAGGCTCCTGTTGTAGCGATACACTGGGCTCCCAGTACGCTTGGTCCACGGCCTCCAACGATCTACTCGCAACCTCTCCAGCCCTATCCTCGCTCGAGCCCTCTTGCTCGGGACAAACCTCGCCCTACATGCAGAGCTACTACCCACCTAGCTCTATGCAGTCCAATATAGGCACACCAAGCTACAGTCCCCAGCAAATCAACAAATGGTGCATCGAAACAAACCCAAACCCCGTCGACTTCTACCCATCCTACCCACTCAACCCAAGTCCCATGCCCTACCCACCACCAACAGAACTCCACCCAGACCCATTCGCACACAGCGACAACCAAAGTACAGCAAACGACTGGCTCTCAGTGCCATCCTTCACAGACCCAATCCCAATCCCACCCCAAGTCCCCGTTCCAGACACCTTCTTCCCAGTCTCCTTCCCTCAACACCAACCCCAACAAACCGAATCACCACCAACAACAAGAACAAGAACAAGAACAAGAACAAGAACAAGAACAACATCAAACACCTCCTCCACAGGAACACGCCCCTCTCCAGCCCGTTCCTTCTCCGACAACCCCTCACCCCCAAATAGCAATATCCCAAGCGACCTAAGCGCCTACGGAATTCCAACAACAAACGGCGCCTGGCGATGCGCACATCCAGGCTGCTCCAGCCAAGCAGTTTTCAGAAGAGGATGTGACCTTCGAAAACACTTCAACAGACATCGGAAATACCTCTTCTGTCGACATGAAGGGTGCCCGCAGGCTTCGCAAAATGGGTTTTCTAGTAAGAAGGATCGGGCACGGCACGAGGCGAAGCATAACCCGGGCATTGTTTGTGAGGCTGTTGGGTGTGGACGGGTGTTTAGTCGGGTTGACAATATGAAGGATCATGTCCGGCGAATTCATCGGAGGGGGATGGGGGATGGGAGGTGATGTGGGATGGGATTGGATGAAATTTATTTTGGGTAAGGGCACGGTTATGGTAATGGGTACGTTTATGATGGTGACGATGTTATGGGATATATGGTTTGATTCTGGATTTGTTTTCCTCTTTTACGATCTGGTTGTACTATAAGTGGGAATCGATATGGCGAATTGGTAAGGGTTGTGTCTCCTCTCGGTGAGGATTGACTTCTAGAAAAGGATAAAAACATGGAGGCATATGATAAAGGGCTAGGACTTCATTTAGAATGAGGATTAGTATCTGGTTTCTAGAATTTGATATGTGAAATGACAAAAACACCCTCTTTCGAGGTGAGAAATGCCTTAAACCTCTTGTACTGCCATATTGAAGTATATTTTGTTTGCAGCCCTGTATCCAACATGTTAGTCCACCTTTCATAGGTGAGTGAATTGTAGAATAACTCTCACACATATAGTTCAACTGGTCATTGAAAATTCATTTTCAAGGGTTAGGGCTTAGATATCTAGTATTTTTTTTTCGGAAATAGTCTCCGATCTTGACTAGTCTCACAGAACATATAACACTCTCGTACCAAACCCGAGTAGCTTCTTGACATAGCAACCACTTCCTCACACTGTATGGGGACCAGAATACTACCATTGAACTCTCTAACTAGCTTAATCCTGTGGTACCGGCATTTCTGTTGAATGTTGAATATACACAAAGAAGTGATATGCAATGTGAGATGCTTGATATCAATACAAGATTCTCGAGGAGTGCCCCAAGGTTCACATCATAATTCCTTTAAGAAACACTAAGATCGATCAAGCCCTCCAGCTCTATGGCATTCGAGCTAAGAAGTAAGTGGATATGGCCAGCAGCTCAGATCCAACCAGGCAAAATAATCCCGGAAAAAAGCTGCACTCCCATATCATTAGTGTTGTTCTGCCGATCAAGGATGGCACCCGTTATTGGGAGACTCGTGAGACAACTATTTCAGCATGTGATGGGTGATAGTTGAAAGGTAGCCACAGGGCCAGGATCGAAGTCGCTGTTAACGGGCAGCAGATAGTGATCACTCTGAAAGATCCAACTCGATCGGCAAGATAAGGAAGGATGTTGCGGCCCGGGATCATACTTGCACTGCGAGATCAGTTAGTCCCGGCTTGGTTCTTATCCCGAAGTCTTCGTACTTGATGAGTGAAATCAGATAAATGGCAAAGGTATCGGAGAAACTGGTGTTCAAGGCATTACTCGATATAAATTAGAAAGCTCCCCATATTCCCCACATAGAGAGAAACGACCCTCTAGCGAAGAGAGCAAATTGCTGCTGTTTGAACAAGCCCAGATCAATCCATAAAAGATGAAATGAAGATTGGATGCAAGTTTGGCGGCATTTGACTTCTTGTATTCGAGAACAAACCGCATGTTCTGACTTGGAATGGCAACTCGATAACGTGGAAGCTTTGAAATCCACGTCCCAAAGCAGACTAGCCAACCATGGATCCCTGGATCGGTCCGCGGGATGTCGGGACCCTAGTCTACATGGGGTTTAGTGGCGGCCGACAGCGCGGACGATAAAAGAAAAGTACTTCCCTTTGTCTGCTTTTACCTCGCACCAGAGGTAAACATGGCGGCCGATGGTGGTAAGTCGAAGGCAATTTATGCTCCACAGGTTTGCGCCATCTGCAAAGCCCGAAAGAAGAAGTGCGACAAGCTACTGCCCACTTGTGGATACTGTATCAGGCAAGCGACTGCATTGCTAATATATTGATTGTTGCTGAGAGCTGTTTCAGCAAAGGCATTACCTGTGTATACGGAAATAGCCCCTCCAGAAATGACAACCATTCGATACCGTCTGCTTTCTTCTTCGCGCAGTCAGTCCCATCTGAACCGGCTGTAGCGGAGGCCAATCTGTACCGTCAGGTCCTTCAACTCATTCATCAAACGGGGCAACTCGTAGACGACCTCAGCGCTCGATATTTTCAGGGCCTGCACCGCTATCTTCCGCTCTGCTCGCGCTCAAACTTTTACGGCAATCTCATTACGCTTGGCGCCATTCCCTCCGCCGGGTTTTCAGTTCTTTTGTTGACCATCTGTCTGACCGCATCTGCTGCTCATGTCGATCGTCAATCCCTGCGACGCACCACCAATTCCCTCGTTGCTCTCGTGCAGGAGTCTCATCCCGTTTCCATCCCCGTGATTCAATCGCGCCTCCTACTGGCCGTCTATGACTATACCCAAGGGCGGCCAGAGGACGCATTCCAGGCCATTTCGGGTTGTGCTCGCATGGCCTATGCCGCTCGCATTCATCCCCACTTTCTTCACAACCGTCAAAAGGACACTGTGAGTCCTGGTACTGATATCAAAGCATGCTCGGATCTGGATGGTCCGCAAGCAACAGAGGCGGCCAATACCTGGTGGGGGATCATTATCTGTGAACGGTAATGGCACCTCTTCACGATAACACCTCACACATTATGCTAATTTGACGCTCTGTCAGGGCCTTTTTCTGCGAAGTTGCCGTATCTGAGCAACCGCTTTTGACCACTATCCCTAACGGCGATGTCCTGCTGCCGATTGAACCTGATACCCTGCAGCCGGGCGAGTGTCTGCGTCAGGATGTTATGCTGATACATGAAGCCTCCATAGCGGTTTCCTGCATCGATTCTTTCGATGTCGGGGGCTTCGGTCGCTCTGCCCAGGCCGCTTGGCTCCTGGATCAGGTCTTCAAGGCATTGGAAATTCCAAGCCTGCACACTAGGCTTTCACAGTTCCAGGTTCTAGATAACACAATCCAGACCTTCCTCGGGACACTCATGCACCAATGCTATGCAAACGAGAAGCTGACTGACTTTTGTCAGCCGATTGCCATTACCATACGGTCAGTCGGTCCTCCAATTTAGAGGGAATTCCTTTGTTAACAAGTCTCCTAAAGAGCATTGTTCATAATGCACTGGCATATCCTCAGGCAAACATCACAAGTCTTCGACCTCGACCCGAGGTTTAGGTCGCTTGAGGACTGGCGGCAACGATCACATACGGTGCTAGACTCTGCGACCAAAATGGTCTTCGATATCGTTGAAACCCACGGAGACTCGGGCCTAGTGCCTCCCAGCTATTCATATATCATCAAATCTGCACTAGAACACATATATACCAGACCGGATTGGAAAGACGACAGCGCGTTGAGGAGTGCAGAGGACCGGCTTCGAAAATCACTACCTCATGTTAACCAATCCCTGAATGGCATGTAAATACAAATATGAGGTTCACACGATAGGCTTAGGAATAAGGAAACAAGAGATCCAATCTTCTAATTATGATGTTCAACGAATTACCAATTGCAAATTTGTGTTTCCAGAATTAGTCTTTGTCTCATTCCATTCATATAACGATAAGGTACAGTTGTCAAGACAAATGCTCCAAGGGCGCATTCCTATCTACTTAGAGAGACTTGCACGCATGGCCATTTTGGAAAAGCAGAATTGGAATTGATGCAAGGTTATATGACTACGTTTATCAATCCTTGGTTTGGATCACCTAGTATGTGCCTGTCATCACAGACAGTCGACCACCATCAGTGAGGAGAACGGAGCCATTGGAGTAGCTTCCAGCACGGCTAGTCAGATACAGAATAGCACCAGCCATCTCCTCATCGCCACCAAACCGTCTGGCGGGGATGAATCGCTGGTCCTCAAATGCCTCCTCTTCAGGCTTACGATTCCCGATGAGGGCGGAAGCCAGTTCGGAGGGATAGACTATTTGAGTATGTCAGTTTTCTGCCCACTGTAGGTGCCACATAATGACAGATTGAACTTACCTCCCGGAGCAATGGCGTTGACACGAATGCCAAATCTGGCCAATTGGGTACTGGCATGTTTGGATACCTGCATGATAGCGACCTTGCTGGTCAAATAGGGAGGTGACGATGACCAGTGTCGACTAAATGCCGAAACACTGGTCGTGAAGATGATCTGACTCTGGATCGATGGAACATGGGAGCCTTCTTTGGCCGGCTTGCCAAAGCCGCCCTTCAGGGCGTTCTGGGTACCAGCGTCGAGCAACTCTAGGAAAGCCATCATGGTAAAGAAGGCCGCGGTAACGTTTAGAGCCAGGGCGTCATTCATTTCCTCTGGAACAAAGTTGGTAAAAAGAGTCTCGCGCAGCTCGAAAATCGAAGCAGTGGGACTAAAGCGCACCGGGGGGCCGATGCTGCCCGAATTGGCGACGACGAGGTTGACATAGCCAACTTCCTCCTTGATGAGATCCACAGCGGCCTGAAGGTCAGCCTTGGATGTCACATCAGCTTGCACTGGAACTATGCTAGGATATTCCGCGGCGGTCTTTTCCAGTACGTCCATGCGGCGACCCAGAATATAGACCTTATGCGCACCATTGGTGGCAAGAGCCCTTGACATAGTGAGTCCAATACCTATTTGGTATTGAGTCAGCAAATGCTTTTGGCAACAAGAATGGTGGATTACACTGACCACTGCCTCCTCCGGTAATGACAGCCACAATGCCGTCAACCCGGAAGATCGTGCTTGAATCAACTGCAGATGCCATTTTAGCAGGCCTAATGTTGGCTTGATAGGAATGAAAATCAGAAAGATGATGAGAAAAAGAGATGGGGGACTTCTTTCGCTAAGATTTCGACTTAATATTTAGATATGTCTTACATGTCCAAGATCATTCGAACGAATTTGAGTGATCTGGGTCCACAGGTCCCATGAGCCTGATTAGCAATCAAAACCAGAATGACGAACCCTTATATGGAGTACATTATGAAAAAAAAAGGCAAAGTACTGACTCTAATGGATTAGGGCTTCCATCCCGGTCTGGTCTCGCGTGGGCCTGTCGGGATGGCGGCCGACGGGCGCCGCCACTAAGGGTCGTTAATGTCAGCAAACTTATCAGTCTCCTCCATCCTAGTGAGATCAAGGCGGCTTGATCTTGTAGGCTTGGTTGGTTTCTTAAATTAATTCATGGCTTCCAGGTTATTTCCCATGTCGTCAGTCCTCTATTGCTAGATTCTTTTGGTGCCCAAATTTGCGTTTCTCAGTATTTACATAGCGACTAGGACATTTGAATAAATTTATTTCGAGGTTTCAGGCTGGCATGACAATGTCCCATGAGTGATCGAATACCTCGGAAAAGGCCAAATCTTAAGATTAAAAGGAATCCCTAATAACCGGGGTGAATCAGGTCAAAATAAAATTCGAGCTGTCGTTCGATCCTAGGCCTAGGAAAACATTGTGGCCGGGTGGTATGACGATGCAAGGTCTAGTTTGTCGGCAAAGGGGCTCTTGGGCAAGATGCATCGGTAGAAGAAGCTACAGATGTATAGTTCGAAGTCTCAGAAAGAGCAGCCTCGCCCTTTTCCTGAGAAGTCCCAATCAAACTAGAAACCAGAGTCTGAACACGTTTATAGCCCGCGTCCCATCGACCACTAAATTTGGTCATGTTGAAATGGTTAGCATCAATTCTGCAGCCCTTGAAGTCTCTCAGAACTGCAGAGCTCTCGTCGACAATCTTTCCCACGGTTTCGTTCATTGGCTTGGTCTCGTAGAAACAAAATACCTTCAAAGAAATAGCACCTCCATGAAGCATATCCTGAAACGTATCCACGTCCCTTTGCAGGTCATTTGGTCCCGATATCATCCCCAAGTGCCCTTTCTTTGTTGTACGTATGTACTTTGCAAGTCTGAAGGTATGACGGGCTAATGATTCACCGTGGTGCGGAGTTCCCATGAAGATAATACCAAGAGCATAAGAGGAGATTTGCCAGAGGCCATCAACCCGAGTACTGAGTATAAGTGCTTTCTGGCATACAAGACCACCAAATCCATGTGCAATAAATAGGATGGGTCTCGTAGAGCAATCTTCTCTTTCGCTGACAAGTGCATACGCCAGGGCTTGGCCATGGTCAGATATTAGACTTGAGGCAGCGATTTTCCAGATTCTAGACAGATCGACATCAAATCCAAATGTCATGATGCGCGCAATCGGAAAGTCCCTGGCTAGGAGGTCTTGGGGCCAAAAAATTCCCTTTTTATGCGTCCATGTTTCCTCGCGGTTGCTGGTTAATCCATGAACAAAGACTATGCTAGTCAAAGTCAGTATTGTTTTTTTTTGGGCTTTTGGAACTCACTCTATGTTGGCATTCGATGTATCGGAGAGTATTTTCATTCCTATTGCGCCATCTGTAGAGAATCTATGTTGTGAGCTAATTTCCATATCCTGATCTTGGCAATGGCAATACTTACACAGGATCTGTCGAGCTCCTCCGCAGCCTATTCTTGATGGCCTCCATAGCCATGAAAGCACCCTTTGATCTTCTGTTTTAGATACCAAGAAAAGATAACGCGGGAAGACGAACGAGCGAGGAGACGGGTTAAGCGCCTGATGGTGTCCAGCTGAGTATATAACCTCCACAACCCTATCTGAAACTGAAACCCCGCTTCTTAAAATATAAAAGAAGAGTCTCACGTCCGGATCAGAATCTAAGCGAAGGTTACACGGGTTTCTCTTGTGGCTGCCAACCAGCAGCTCAATGGGGATGTCTCGGGCCATAATGTTGTGACATGCCTGGAAGCAGGCTAGACGACGCCAAATATGAGACCATGATTGAGATACTTAGGAAGAAACCATCGTCTCTAACATTACGAACAAAGTTTCCTAGGGCTCCAAGGACGGGGTAAATTGAATATGAATCCTGATCTTTGTGTACTTCGAGAATGGGTGCTTGGTCTAGATCAACTCGAGATATACAAGAATCAGCAAAAGAGGCAAATAGCCTACTGGGACTAAGGAACCAAGCTGGGGCGATTATTGATTTTGATGATTGATGTTACTTTCTTTTCCCACTGGCTTTCATGATACCTCAACATTTCGACAAAGAAATCAAACAATAGCGGCAGCGGCAAAGGGCTTCTCAGGAACCAAAGGGCTTCTCAGGAACACATTATGCTCTGACTCATGACTCAATGTCCAAAGACAAACATGTCTTAAAGAAAAACAAAAGCGTTACACGAATAGACGATCATTGACATGACTTAATTCATACAAACAAGTATCGGGACGACCTCAACGGATCTCTCTTGGTCTGCATATTCTTACAATATTGCAAGTTGTAGGCTCCTCGCAATTTGGCACTCAGGAGGAGTTCTTGGGCAAAAATTCCACACCAGCACGGGTAACGAGTCTCAGGCCATACTTGGAAAATGCTCGAATGATGACAGCGACGAATGTCGAAAACAGAATCTTGATAAAGTACATGATGGCAGCACCGATGCGAGTTTTTCCCAGATATTGGAGGGCATGGAAAGTGTGACCCACAGGCATGGTAATCAAGATCGCAGGAATGATAATGCAAAACTGGCAAAGGACTTCATCCATGGGCGGGTGGAAGGCAATTTGTTCAAATTTGGGCGCAAAACGAGGCATCTTTCCCTCTGATTGAGACGCTTGGGACGCGATGGCGACGACCACATATTTTAGATCCTCCCGAGGAGAGTCAGCAGGTGGTTTTCTGGGTCTGTAGATTCCAAACAAGAACGCCATAGCGCGAGGGACCTTCTTCTTGGTTTTTCCCACGCCCTTTGGCTGATTGGCGATGGGAGTACCAGCTTTATTTCTCGAATATTCGACATGTGCTGCATTTGGTAGACTTGAAGGGGATGGAGAAGGTATGCCAGCGTGATCCCGGATTTGAGATGTCTGAGCCGAGGCCTTATTCATGAGGTTATGTGACGGAGATACTCGGTGAGGGGTTGCACGTCGGATACCGTTCCACTCACTAGGTTGCTTCTGTCGAGAGGAAGCGAGGCGATCAACCGAGGACAGTGGGCGTTGTGCTGGCGAGGGCGGGATCTGAGGAATAGCAGGAGAAAAACGAACGGATCGCGGCGCCGGGATACGATTGCCAGATCTCTTGAGGGAGGTGACATTTGGGGCTGGATAGTGATTTGCTAGAGCGGCGATGGGAGGCTTGAGTGGGTTTTGCTGGTCTTTTGGAGGTGTTGAAGATTGACTTCTGCCATGTCCATGAAAGATAAAGCGTCCCTTGGGCAAGTCTGCCTCGGGCGAATCTTGAAAGCAATCGTAGTTAAATTCCTCGGTATTCGGCGGATCTCTCAGGTGCAGGTTCTTGGGGGGCTGAGGGGTGGCATGAGGCAATGCAGGTTCTTCAATGCAGTCTTTCTTGCTGTTTGATTTAAATGGCTGTGGCGGATTCGAGGTGTCACCAATGTTGTCGAGGACGTACTTGTCGGTAGCTGCATCCAGAACCAAGCGAGGAAAAGATTGCCCGGAGCGTAGGCTCAGTGAGGCCTCTTGAAGTTCTTTGAACCCGCGCTCTTTATTCAGACTAGTCTGTTTGGTCGTCATATCAGCAGGTCCATCAAGCCCGAAAGCAGTGAAGGTAGCAAAGGACGGCGAAAAGAGATTCAGAGGCGAGTCGGTAGTGACTGGGGTTCTGACAGTGGGGGGTACAAGATTAGATGCAAACAAATCTTGAGAGTCAGAGGTGACTCGAGTATCGGCAGCGGAGGTAAAGGAAGATGGAAACAGGTGGGAGTCAGTGAGTCGAGTATCCACGACTCCCAAAGGATCAGACTTGATTGACCTGGAAGAAGGCATGTTGGTACAAAAGAGGATGAAGGTGAGGGGAGAGGAAGGTGAGGGGAGAGGAAGGTGAGGGGAGAGGAAGGTGAGGAAAGAGAGAGAGAAAGAGAAGAGGGAGAAAGATGAAATCGCCGGGGTGAGAAATAGAGTTTCCCAATTGGGAAGCTGCATCTTCCTACTATGTTTGGAGCTCAATTAGGAAAAGAAGAATTGCTATAATTCTACAAGTTCAAGGGCAATAATGGTTATGTACAGCAAGTCTATTTGACGAGAGGCTGGAGGGTCTCGAGAACCTACTTCAGTTAGCATTTAGCCCGGTTCAATGTCACCACGATTCCATACCTCAAGCTCGATCTTGGCCTCAGCAATGTCCTGCTCGCTGCCGTTGCCACTAGCGGTCTTCTGGGACTCAGCAATCAGGGCGCGGATGTTCTATAGGGAAAGATTGGTCAGTTGGGATTGCGACGTCGCGAGAGGGGGACAATTTACCTCGGCGCTGAACTGGTCAAGGGGGAAGATCTCGGAGCTGTTGATGCTGAACTCGTTGTTGGGCTGCATAACGGCGAAACCACCGGCGGCTATTAAGGAACATTGCTATTAGCTAATTTGTTCTCATTCGAGGACGAGATTCACGGGTTGTCCCTGAGCGCGAGGGTCGGACGTACTGAAGAGCTGCTTGGAGGAACCGTTCTCCTCAACAATCTCGATGAGACCGGGCTTGAGCTGCTCAATGGAGGGAACGTGGTTGGAGAGGACACCCATCTCACCGGAGGCGGCGGGAATGTTGACCTGGGTACTGTGATCGCGAAGTTCAGTCAGTATGTGAGAAAAGGGCGAAGACGCCGAAGCGTGCGCAAGTCAATAACATACACGCCAGCAGACTTGTAGATGGTCTATGAAACAATCATAAAGTCAGTACTTGTGTTCGGATGAGATGATAAACGCGGTTGGTTCACGCACCTGGTGAGGCAGGGTCAGGGACAGCTTGAGGCTCTCAGCAGCATCGGCGTAGGTACGTCTGGGGACACGAGCGACGGGCATAGAGGGGCGGGCAACCCTCATGGCCGAGAGACCGGAGCGAGCGAGACGGTTGAAGCTCATTTTGCAAGGGTGGATGACGTGCAAAGGCTGGGTTATCCTTCTTGAAGTTGCAGTGCAAAGACGAAGTCGGAATGCCGGTTGTTCCCTAGCGCCGGGTCACGTGGCACGGGAATCCAACGGCCGAAGTATGGCCAAGGCTGTTTACTCTTCTTGCATACCTATTTGCAGCGAGAATTGGGTGGAAAAGATGCTATTCAATCATCTATCTATATACTCAAAGTTGGAATTTCCACCACCTGAATATTTCCAATCAATTGGCTTCTGGTGAGGGTCGTTGCTTGGAACAGGGTGGACGGAAGTTCTGGCCAGACTTGATGTAGAAATCCCAAGATCTAGTCAAGATTTCATGACTTATATGACCATCATATAATCCTCCAAGATCATGCGGAGGTTCTTGACATGGAGAAAGAGAAATATACATTTAACTCATCACGTGGTGTGTAGGTCACGTGTTATGAGTGGCAGAATGAAGTCAGTGAAGAAAAAAAAAAAGGTCAACTGCTCCAAAGACTAGCAGAAGCTAAAGAGAAAATATTAAGAGACGAATTAGTATTAAGACTAGATTAGTAGACAATAATAATCCCATAGCATATGATATCATTGCCATATCCTGCTGAAGCCATCTGTCTCTTCAGTATGTACACCGCCCGATAAGCGAGATCCCACAAACGGAACGAGCCCTAGCCGAGCCTCTTAGGCCTGACGTCCCTGTTCCCTCTCCTCACCAACCATCCCACCGTCAATCAGCGACAACATCCGTCAAGATGGCCAGTACGTTTTCCCTTCGATCATATGGCTTCTATTCGCCTGCAAGCCGCCCAGAAAAAAAAAGCGATGTCGCTGACATGATTTTCGCCCACAGAGTCCAAGAACGCGTCCCAGCACCACAACAGCCAGAAGGCTCACCGTAACGGGTAGGTCTGCCTTTCAATATTCTCGATGCCCCTCTATTGCACTTCAACGACACTCGAAATTACGGCAATTGTTGGAAACTGGTGGCGGGCGAACGATTTTATTCGGTGTGATATTCCGGGGTCACATCTTGAATATTCACTTGGACAAATTCTTCGACACGCTACCACTTATCACCTACCACTTACCACGCCATCTATACCAGAATGAATCACTAATACGTCTCTCCGAACAGTATCAAGAAGCCTAAGACCAACCGTTACCCTTCCCTCAAGGGTGTTGACCCCAAGTTCCGCCGCAACCACCGTCACGCTCTCCACGGCACCATGAAGGCCCTCGTACGTTGACCACAACCCGAACCCAACAAAAGCACGCATCTACAACAAATACTGACCCATTGAACAGAAGGAGCGCAAGGAGGGCAAGCGCGAGGTCGCATAAATGTCTAACGGAGTCTGAAAAAATGGGAATCATGAAACGCAACTCGAGCGCGCAGGAGGTCCGGTGAACATAAAGTGTGCGACGATCAAGGACGGTCCGCTGTGTCGAATAGGCCTGGTTTCTGCTTATTCCTTGCGCGATGAGTCTCGGGTTGTTTGATATCAAGAAATCAACAGGCTTAATTCGATGAGCACAGCGGTGCCATTTTCCCAAGCGGAATATCTTCTGCTATTCCTCTTTTTCCGTCCTTTCCAGTTTTTGCCTCGAGGGCTCGACTGCTGCGGCCCTCGAGCCTTAGTACTCTTCCCCCCCCCCCCCCCCCCCCACCTTTTCCTTTTTCCCATTCCCTCATCCCCTCTCCGGCATATGTGTGTACAGCTGCGTGCCTTTCTCATGCGCGATTGCTGAAGGATTTTTCTTTACGTGCCAAGAATGAATCCCAGACCCTCCTCGATTACATATCCTGTCTCGATACTTCTCGACAGAGACAGGGTTCGTGGTTAGGAGGGTTACATCTCGTAGCAGTAACAGTCGTTTTGTTTTACGTCTTGAATGAATATTTTCACTCATCTATTCAATCAATATCTATATTCGAGCATATCACATCATTTTTCGCCTCGCTCTTGCAGTATTCGATATGAATCCTACATGTCTCCAGCATCTATACCTTCCAAACGACCAAACGTCTATCAAATCCACCACTAATAACCCATTCCTCCCGAACCATCTCCCCATCTCTCGACACAGAAACAGACCCAGACCAAACAGTCCGCACCTTACAACCAGGCTCATGACCCCCCCTTAAGCGTAGCAATAACCTTGCCAGTCTTGGTCTCAATACCTCTCACAACACCATCATCCCCATTTACCCAAACCCCAGATCCATCCGGTCTCCACGCAACCTGTGGGGTCGAGTATGCGGTCTGCGAAGCGAAGGTATTCGCCTGCACGAGGATAGCGGCGTCCTCGCGATTAGCCAATGCCAGAGCATCCATAGCCTGAGAAGCCTGCGTGACCGGGTCTGCTGAAGCCGAATCATCTTCCTTGTCTGGTTTGCTCAATGATGGGAAAATCAGGCGTACAATGATAACCTTCATATGGGGTAGGGTCGACGTAGCCACTGCCACGAGACCCGGGTCGTGTGGACTGAGAGCCATATGGGCCGGCGAGAAAGCAACCCAGGCATTGGAATGGGGAGCTAGGTTCTGGGTTCCGAGGAGTTGACACTCGCGGAGAGAGGTGTGAGAGGCGGTTTGCTCGGGTGTTTCTTCCACCTGGTAGTAATGGATATAAGTTGAGTCTCTGCGCGAGACGAGGAGAAGGAGGTCGTTTGTGTCGATATGCGGTACAAATAGAAGTGATTCCGGATTCGAGGCGAGCTTGATGCGAGCGACTGGTTCGCCGATTTTTAGGGTGTGTGCGTTTGCCTCGTCTGGAATGTTGAGTTTGTATAGCAAGACTGTCTCGTCCCATCCGGCGGTGGCGATCCACCACTTAAGCGGGTCTTTCTTGTCTTCGTAGGCTACCACTTTGACGGTGTACTTCCCATGGTCCTTTCTGCTATCTAAGAGTTCGATACCATGCTGGAGAAGGATTTGACCGGACATGTTTGTCAAGAGGATGTACCGGCCTTGAAGGATCGAGACGAATGATAGAACGGGTGCACTTGATAGATCAGAGAAAGACTTGACAGCTGCATTGCTCCCTGCGGTTTCAAGTACATGCACCTGTTTGTCGGCGCCCGCAGAGATGATATAGGATTGCGCTGATGCACCCGCGCCTTCATCATCGCAAGGCTTCTGCCATTGCTCTACAGATGCAGCAAGTAGATTTGATGAAGTCGGTGTCTGGATCACAGCCGGTTTTGACGGTGCTAGATATGTCAGCGATTGAACGAGATATGACATCTAAATCCAACACGCAAAGATTTGCAAAGTGAAAAAGAACTCACCTGGTTCACTCCACAGACCAGTCCCTTGGCTATCCTCTCCATATCGTTCAAAATTGACGCTCTGATCATAAGTATGCTTCTCCTCGAGCAAGCTTTGGATTGTCCAGTTATTAGTGTCGTCACCAGAGGCCTGCCCCACGTCGGGAGCAAGACCAGCCTCGCGGATAAAAGCGTTTAATGTCTCTGTGTGGTCATTTGTGCGTAGAAAACGAGCAACTAGAGCATTTGCTAATGCATCTACCGTCACAGAGGGTGCCATACTTGCGTTCAATGCCGGGAGAGGTTGGCTGCGGTTGGGAAATGATTAGTCGTCCGTGGCGCAGGCCCTGCAACGCTACTGTATAGATCTTCGAATTATTAACAACAGCTGTCCCGTGCATTTCAATCGTTTTATTGTTGATATCGGAGGGTATTGGGAGGAGTCTTATGGGCTATCCCATAGAGCAAAGCAGAGTATGTGTTATTATGGAGTTTTATCAGACAAATTCGGTTTCCCATCCTGTTCACTAAACGCCGGATATCAAGCATGCAACGAAACCCCCCTTAACGATATGAAAATGCATAGATTCAACGTTCAAATTGCTGCATCAGCTGAACATGTCCTCGGCACGGCGTCGGCGGCCACCGCGTCCCTCCAGAGTCTCGTCGAACAGTTCCTTGCCAGCATTGTTGCTGTACTTGGAAGGGAAGAGTTCACGGGCTGACGCGCCCCTGCCTTTAATCGACATACCGCCCGATAATCCCCGGATGGCAAAACCTTGGTCTTCACCAGCTGATCCACGAATGCGAGCGCCTTCGTCCGAGCCGGGGAAGAGTTCAATGTTGCTATTGCGACGGTGTTCGGAGTTTCCGGGAATAGAAGAGGCGTCAAACGCATCTGACCGACGGTGGTGACTGGATTTGCTAGGCAGCAATTCCTTTTTTATGTAACTCGAGGTGGGCTTGTTGGGGAAAAGCTCTCGATTACCGGGCTCATTGCTATCGCTCGGGAAGAGCTCTCGGCCCTTGTTCTGACCAAGTCGCGGCGACCTCTCGCGGAATCGCCTGCTGTCATCACGGTCTTCACGGCCGGCTCGCTTTGATTCCTCCAGTGTGTCTCGACCGGGTGACGCGCTGCGATTGCGAAGGCGTCCACTTGTCCGTTCCTCGTCTGCTGGGAACAATTCCCTCTGGCCACGGCCTCTCCGTTCTCCTCGTCCTCGCTCAGTGGTACCGGAGCCTGCATTATCATCGTACATGTCGACATTGAATTGGTCGTCCTCGTCTCGGTCTCGGCGTCGTCTGTGTTCCCGGTCATCGAATCGGCGTCGCCTGTAACCATCGTCGTCGTCGCCGCGTCTCCGATCTGCGAATTCTTGTCGCAGACGTTCTCGGGGGTCATGTTCCGGGTGCATCAGGTAGAAGCGACTCTTCTCATAAGAGCGGGCTTGTTTGCGGTCGGTCTTGACGGCCGACCGGACTTGGAGGACGGAGTCGGGATGGGAGGAAAGAGGTTTCGCGGTGCGCAGGCGCAGTGCAGGCAGAGATGACGCATCTTCTTCCTCGTTGACCTGGGTAAGAGCCGCGAGAGCTTGGATGCCGGCCTCGGCGGAGGAGTAGATGAGATTGGCGGAGGTGTCGTCGATCCATTCAACGCGCACTGGCTCTTCAGTGAAGTGACTGCAGGCGAATTGTTTGATATTTTCCGTAGTCATTTCATCAACGCCGCGAACATGCACCTTCTCGTAGACCGCCTCTTCGTCGAGCGGATCGATGGTGGTTTCCACGTTGGGGGCCGGTGCCTAGAATTGGACACATATCAGTGGGCGGAACGAGCAAACAAGAGTCATATAAACACATACCATCTGAATTGGCTCGGGTTCGGGCTCGGGCTCAGGTCCCAAGTCAAGGTCCATATCGATGTCCATGTCTCCGATAGGAGCCGCGGGCCCATCGATTGACACGTTTGGAGCGGCCATGACAGATGAAATGGAGTAGAAGTCAAGTGGCTGGCGCTTTCCCAGGTTATATAGAATTGACAATCAATCGAGAGAGGTGAGCAGAGTCAGAGGTGAAAATCGAGGCGGGAGCTTGAACGTCGCGCGCCTGATAAGGATTAGCGCCGTTTTCCGGGGAACGGCAGTATAAACTTAAGGTAGCCCTGCACTTGTTGTATACTTCCTGAATTACTGACTTACTGAATTACTGTGGTACCGATATCCATCAAAATAAAGGAACATTCGTCGAGTCTCTACTGGTATATTTAGATAATTCTTGTATACTTTGGTAATATAGTACCAAAGGCAACTACCCCTTCATAGAGACAGCTGTCAATGGAAACTGAATTTGAAAGACCTATAAATAGTCCAATTGCTTCTTACTGTTATTTTTTGTAAATGAACTCTTTTGTTCCGAAGCAGTACAGAATTCAGTTCTATTCATATGTTGCGACTCATATGCACTCTCAAATACTTACAGATTCTACAATAGGACACGATAAAAGGCAATGCATTAAATCACACGTTCGCCGAGAATAATCTAGACCATAAATCATACTCGATCCTAGTTTTGAATAAGTTGTAATCAAAGATTACTGCGAGCCTCTTGAGTGGTCCTATAGCTTGCCTCTGTTCTTTGCATTCCTTCTATCTAGAAAACATGCTAACATCCTAGAGGGTCGTGGGCTTTATGGCTTATATTTTGCTAACTTATTCCTAGTAGCTTGAGCTTCTTACTTTTTCTCTTTCGCTTTAACCACCGAGGCTTTGTCAAGCTTAACTTGGCTATTGATAGTGCCACCCCTTTGGCTTTCTTGGTCATGCAGGCACATCCCCCCCCAAGTAGATCAAATGACGAAGAACGAACTAGCTCCTTTCTTGATAGCCGTTCCGGCGAATCAGTCGCCGATATGATATTATGTGGTACTCCTTTCGGCGACGGAATTACATCCGTGACATATGCAGAAGAGTGAATTTAGGCTAAACCCTCGGTCAACACTGCCTATGACCTCGGAGCGTTTAAAGGTCGGTATCTCCACCTCCACAGTTCTCCGAACTCCGGCAGCTTTGGAGCAAATTATGTTGGGCTCCGTGTTTCCCTGCAACTGATCTCCCGAAATGACGCTGCCGTGGTACTACATACGTGGTGAGGGGTACCTATCCTTCTTGAATACTTAAAGCTATTTAAATCAGGTTGGTGAACCCTCCAGCTGAAAGCTATCTCAATTGTGCCATATTCGAACAAGACCGACACAGCCCACTACTCTTCTGTTCAAAATGCTTTTATCCGAAGACGAAAAGCTCGTCTTCCGCTTTGACGATCATATCTTATGGGTTCAGCCATGGGGCGAGAATGCGTTCCGTATCCGAGCAACCAAGCAGGCGTCAATGCCCACGGAAGACTGGGCCCTCTCCTCCAAGCCCGCTAACGGGAAAACAAGTATCAAAACACCAGTCTCTGATGAAGATGCCACTATCTCGAACGGCAAGATCAAAGCAACTGTTTCCAGCCGAGGCAAGCTCACCATCTACAACTCGAGTGGTAAAAAGCTCTTGGAGGAGTATGCCCGGCACAGACAAGACCCGAAAGACCCCAAATGCAGTGCATTGACAATCGAAGCTCGCGAGCTGCGTCCAATCTTAGGCGGAGACTACCACCTCACGATGCGGTTCGAATCTCTCGATCCCAAAGAGAAGATCTTCGGTATGGGTCAATACCAACAGCCCTACTTGAACCTCAAGGGCACAGACCTCGAGCTAGCACATCGAAACTCCCAAGCCAGTGTGCCTTTTGCGGTCTCCTCCCTCGGTTATGGGCTTCTATGGAATAACCCTGGCATTGGGCGGGCGGTTCTAGGCACAAATGTCTTGGGCTTTGAAGCATACTCCACAAAGGCACTGGACTATTGGGTTGTGGCTGGCGATACACCAGCCGAGATTGAAGAGGCATATGCCAAAGTCACAGGCTATGTGCCCATGATGCCGGAATATGGCCTTGGTTTCTGGCAATGCAAGCTTCGCTATTGGAATCAAGAACAACTACTCAATATAGCGCGCGAGTACCACCGTCGCAATGTTCCTTTGGATCTGATCGTCGTTGATTTCTTCCATTGGAAGCATCAGGGCGAATGGAGCTTTGACCCGGAATTCTGGCCGGATCCTGGTAAGTGCCATCAATAGTATATTATCAAGTATCAACCCAAGCTGACTGTAGTCCAGAGGCCATGGTCAAGGAGCTGAAAGAGCTGAAGGTAGAACTAATGGTCTCCATCTGGCCAACGGTCGAGAATGCCTCAGAAAACTTCCCAGAGATGCTCGAACGCGGACTCCTAATCCGCCACGACCGGGGTATGCGCGTAGCAATGCAATGTGACGGCGACATCACACACTTCGACGCAACCAACCCAGAAGCACGAAAGTACATCTGGAGCAAAGCAAAGAAGAACTACTACGACAAGGGCATCAAAGTATTCTGGCTCGACGAAGCCGAGCCAGAATACTCAATCTACGACTTCGACATTTTCCGCTACCATGCCGGCAGCAACCTCCAAATCGGCAATACCTATCCAAAAGAGTATGCACGCGGCTTCTACGAAGGCATGCAAGCAGAAGGGCAAACCAACATCGTAAACCTACTCCGATGCGCCTGGGCCGGCAGCCAGAAATATGGAGCGCTAGTATGGAGCGGCGACATCGCATCCTCATGGGACTCATTCCGCAACCAGCTAGCAGCAGGACTAAACATGGGCCTTGCTGGCATTCCATGGTGGACAACAGACATCGGTGGATTCCACGGCGGCAACCCGGACGACCCGGAATTCCGCGAACTGTTCACCAGATGGTTCCAATGGGGCGCTTTCTGCCCCGTGATGAGACTGCACGGAGACCGGGAACCCAAGCCGGAAGGACAGCCTACGGCGAGTGGAGCGGAAAATGAAATCTGGTCGTATGGAGACGAGGTGTATGAGATTTGTAAGAGATATATTGGGATTCGGGAGCAGCTGCGGGATTATACGCGCGGGTTGATGCGCGAGGCTCATGAGAAGGGGACGCCTGTTATGCGGACTTTGTTCTATGAGTTCCCTGGTGACGAGCGTGCCTGGGAAGTTGAGACGCAATATATGTTTGGGTCTCAGTATATGGTTGTGCCGGTGTTGAAGGCTGGGCAACGTGTTATCAAGGTCTACCTTCCTGATGGGGCATCTTGGAAGGTTTGGGGTGGCAAAGATGATGCTGTGTATCAGGGTGGTCAAGATGTTGAATTTGACTGCCCGATTGAGAGTATGCCTGTCTTTTGTCGCCAGTAGATGGACTATCCAGATTGGGGCGTTGGAGCATTGAATTCACAGACGGTTTTTGGTTGCTTTATTCATCACCTCGGATTCTTCAGACTGTTGCCAGATCCTAAATGAGAATAAGCCATTGAATTCGCCGCAGCTTCCATGTAGCGTTATTGGAACAACCAAAAATTAGAGCTCTCGCTGCAATGTCAGATTATCTGTCTCACCTCGTACACTTCGTATGCAAACGCTTGATGCCTTGGGTATCCAAAAACCAAGGACCAGCACATCGGATCTGCGGTCCGCAATCCACATGCAAAGAGCAAACTCAAAGAACCAAAAAATCGAAAGTATCAAGCCCCATAAGCCCGATAACTAGGAAATCGATAACTCAGCAACCATCTGCGAAATCTTGTGCCCCTGACACGCACCATAAACACGGAACACAGGCCTCGAACGGGGAAATGGGGATCCCGCCGACGTTCCAACTCAAAAATGAGACATTCGGGAACCCCGAGTAAGCTTTCAGGAGAAAGCAGAAGCCAAAAAAAAAACACAAGGCAAGGAACAAAAGAAGCAAGGCACCATGGATCCCGATAGACCGGTACCTTTCCCGCGCTAGTCCTAAATAGACACTAGTGTCGATGGCACCGAGATTCTCCGTTAGCCAATCAGAGCCCGTATTGGCTGTACGGTGGATGTACTGGGTAATGTGTATTGGCAATAGTGTATTAGGGCTAGGAACAGCATATGGGGACAATAGTAGGGCTACACTACCACCCGCTGAGTAAACATGTCAATAGCGAAATTTACCCAGCGAATAACAGCCCGCTCACAGGACAAGTACGCGCAGGGTACGTCGATAAAGATCTCGATACCCGAGAATGAGCCAAAGTCGCTTTATAAGGCGATGTGGCTGTCGATCGCAGGAACCGGCGACTTGGAACGCAACGGGCAAGTGTCATCCACGCGGATGCCATTCCTGGAAGGTGTCTCTCGCCAGAAGCCGACAGCCCCCTGATCCTTCCCTTCCTGTCCCACGGTTATGCTACTCCACCCGCCTAGCCTTGCCAACGTCCCCTTTTTGTGGCAGTTTGACCGTTTTTTCGTATACTCCGAGCGCTGTACGCGGTAAACGAGAGTCCGTATAACGGTTCGATGACATCAGAGTTTTCTCCCGTTTGGCTCCACAATATGCCGTGTGGTGGGGGTTACAGTACAGACGGATACTAACAAAGATTCCAAATACTGGAAACGCCGCCAGCGCTTCCAGGGATAGTTATCTCAAATTGTTTAGCTTCTGATATCTGCTCTTCTGCATGGAGGGACGGTAGTACGACCTGAGTGATAGTTTCTGATCACGCTATTAGGTTTGGGTACGATCACACTGTGAAGGCAGTCTGCTCGATCTGATTCGGTGGATCCATGGCTCACCTCCCGATCAGTCGATGGTGGCTTGCCCATTCCAGGTTGGTATACGACCCTTTTTTTTCTCTACACATTGTACGGAGTGTACGGAGTACAGTGCGCTCACGCACAGGGTACCCGCGTCCATGCTCCGTACTCCGTGTGGTGGAGCTGAATGTCCCGTGTAGTGTCACAGAGTGAAATCTTTTGCTCAACAGGGGGTTCCACTGGCATGGGCCATTGAGGCGGCATGGTTGTGAGATACTACCGTGTGCCCACTATCCGCGGCAAATGTACATGTACAATGCAGGGCGGCAGGGAAAACAATGAAACGAAACGAAAGCTATGAAACAGACACGGCATATATGGAGCATCAGTACAGAAAATACGGAGTTAATCGTAACTTCTTCGTATGCTGTATATGTATGGGTCAAGATAAGCCACGTACGAAATATGCAGAAGATGTGGAAATATAACATAATACTGTATTCGTGATCGAAGAGTACGCATGTCGGTTGTTGACCAGATCCAGGGCAAATCTCCCATCTCAACGGCCCAAAAACGCCCTCGCGGAAGGCGGGAAATCGCGACCCGGACGAGGCTTGCATGCACGAACACCTCCACGATCCATGCAAATCCCCACCAGCCCCGCCGTTCATTCCGGTGACCAGTCCGGTTGATACATCGGCCGCGCTAGCCCTGACGATTGGCTAGAATCGCCCGTCTCAGCATTGTATAGCGGGAACAAGAAAGAGGGGGTGGCCAACAAACTACCACACTGGCGTCTGTCGAGAGGCAAAAGGGCACACCAAACAGGGTAAGAGAAAGAAGGAAAAGTGGGAAACGAGCCGGCGTGGCGCTGACCAGACATGATCACTGGCGGAAGAAGCAAGCGTCAACCAGAGGCCCTTCAGCCATTCGTCCACATGGTACAATGAAATGAGCAGGAGTGGAGAGAAAACGTCAATCATGGCCAAGATCGGGACAACGGAGAAGCACCGTTTGATTCCCCGGCGAACCTCTCGAATAAACTTTCGATCATTTTCCCTTGGAATATACTGTGCATATGCATTACGTCCCCCTCTTTAGTCTGGATGCATATTGTCGACCTACAGGTTAGACCTAGACCTTTTTCACATTGTACAGGCGTGGTGGGTCTGGCTTGGGCCCTGGCCTGAACTCCCTTGCGTCCGTCCTCGTGAGCACGGCGTGTCTGGTGGCGCATTCCTCAGAGAGACCCGTGCTAAGAGGCATTCTTTGTACGGAGTAAGAGATACCCTCATATCAGGGAACATGGTTTGGGCAATGTAGTACCGAGTCTAACCCGAAAGAATATAGTTTACAGGCCTTATCAAGTGGATAAAAATCAAATGATTCATTATAAACAGGGTAATATTATGTCCATTCCAAGTAGGGAATATGGAGCGCCTAGTTACATTATCTCTCCCATTCGAAACCCCAATTACAGGTAGCGGAAACCAGAGTCCAAAAGGAAAACTTGATTTTGGGGGGTCGAAACCATGATAATACACATTAAGAGTATACAAAAGGAAATCGTCACAGCTCTCATCGAAATAGACACAGGACACAGGAAAAAGCGAGCGCGAAGCTTTTGACAAATATACAAAAGAGGTATCCATCAACGGACCCGAGCGCGAAGGGGAATCACGAGTAGAGAACAAGTAGGAAAAATGTGAGAAATGAAACTCGTAACAATCATAAGGGCAGGGTTTTAGATCTGGTTTTGGTTTTAGTTGAGCAAGCTGCTGACACCCATGCGGGTATCACGAGCAGGCTCAGCTGGGGCAGACATCCAGGACTTGGAGGTGTCTGTAGGTTGATGCCAGGAGGCCAGAGTGGGCTGGTGGGCCATCCAGCGCTTTGCGGCCATATCTGAGAGCGACTCGAGAGATCGGGCAGGGTGGCTGGGCGAGTCTTCCACGATGTGCACGCTTGGGCGGCGGATTTCGTACTGCGGGCGCAAGTCGACTGGCAGAGGCAGAAGCTGAGGAGAGGGAAGCGTGCGGGGCGAAGAAGAGCAGATGGAGTTCTGATCTGAGACCATAGAAGGAGGCTCGCAAGAGGTAGCGTTGGAGACATCGGAGAACGCGGGCGAAGTCAAGGGAGTTTCGATCGGTCGGTTGATAGAAGGCAAGGTGTAGATGGGAGACAGTTGGCGGGGTGCAGAAGCCAACGACTCTCTGCGGGAGTGGGAGTATTGCTCGGAAATGGCCGACTCGATGGAGTCGGTCCACGAAGGGCGAGAAGACGAGACGGAGAAGCGCGAACGAGAAGGGCTCATCATTGAGGCGCGGGTGTAAGGAGCCTCGATACGGCCGCTACAAGTGCGGGAAGTAGTGGGGGTGGACAAGCCACGCTTCTTGCGGTTCATGCTGCCATTCCACCAGTTCTTGACTGCGTTGTCGCTGCGGTTTCCCAGGCGGCGGGCGATCTCCGCCCAGCGCTTTCCCATTTCATTGACCATGCGCTCGATCATCAACCCCTCATCGGCAGAGATAGGCTCGCGGTTAAGCGAGGGCTTCAAGTTTTGGTGGAAGCGCTCACGACATTGCTTGGGCGAGCGATAGTGCATGTGCTGCGAGATGCGAACCCAGTTGTTCGGACCTTGTTCGCGGACCAGTTGGACGAGGAGTTGATCTTCCTCGGGAACCCAAGGACCACGACGATGCGAAGGAGGCATATTGTGTATTGTGTAGACAGGGAGAGAGGTGAAGGTGAAGTCGGGTGAAGTCGAAGTGTAGTCGAAGTATAATTGAGGTGTGTGTGATGCGAAGGGGAGACGAGGTATATAAAGATGAACCAGGGGGACGGGTCAAGAAAAAGGAAGATCAACCAAGATCTCGGAGCTGACAGTTCGGAACAATACCAAATACCAAACTATTGTAATGTATAGATCGTGGGGAGTGGAAAAATGCTCCGTTGGGATCTTCAGTACGACCCGGGAATCCGGGCTGAACAGCGTTAAACCGGTAAGAGACGTGATCGACCCTGAGCCCCGTTGCTGGAATTCCAAATCATTCTTTTTTTTTTTTTTTTTTTTTTTTTTTTTTTTTGTTTTGTTTACAGTATTATCATTATTATCATGATTATTTTTATTATGATGATGATGATGATGATGATTGTTATTTACTTTTTTCTTTAATCCAGGGTGGTGTTAGAAAAATCAACTCTATCCCTTTACTGGGTATTGTAGAACTATACTGTAGAACTATAGACTCTACAGTCTATAACTTCGTTTCTCTCCACATCACATTACAGTATGTACTCGTAGCCATGTACTATGCTGCGTCCAAGCTCCCCTGAGCCAGAAAGGGGTATACCTAAAAAAGCCAGGGGCAGATCTGGCTTCCGAACTGACAAGCGACGTCCCAGGTTCCCCTCAGCCAGCCATGCACAACACTTCGCGACACGATGCCCGCCGATCGATGTCCAATCGGTCATATCCAAGCCACCATTGGCCTGATCTAGGCTCAACCTCCTTGAACCTCCTTGAAGGTGGACCCACTAGTGGGGAGTGGAGGCTTGACAAATTCTCTCGGACTGCGTCCGTGAAGATATATACACCCGTAAAATCGTCAAGTCTGTCGATTTCAATAGTATGGGGAAATCGGTGGCCCCGATGACAGGAAGCTTCGACCCCGAGCAACGCCGAAGCCACACCTCATTCCCTGACCCGACGCAGTGGGTGGGCGATTCTCTGATTTCATCTCTCATCCCTGATGCTCTCTGTGCCTTGCAGCTGCCGCCATTCACCAGGTCACATGGCCTGAACAACCGTCACGCAGCGTGATCGCTTGTGATCATGCTAAACAAGATTGGAATCAACATACGAAGTCATCATCATGGAATCTCCAGAAAATCAAAGACACCGCATGGGCCACCTGCCACCTGTCACTGACAGCCCGTGGATCACAGAGTATTATCGAAAAGTACACACACGGGCCACGATGTGACGTTTCCTTGGAGGTGCATGGGTACATCCTTCCCGGGGATCTGGTGAACCAGTTCCAACTAGATCAAAACAGGAAAGGAGGTGACAAGGAAAATACACATGTACAGGGGTAAGTGGGAATAGTCAATGGTGTACGAAGCAATCTATTTCCCGTGTGAAACTATTTTCAGCCTAAACACTGGTGTACCATGCATCAGAGATCGGGTTCGAGGGGATCGAGGTCGAGATCGACGTGTGCGAAGTTTCCAGATTACCAGGTTAGGCATGTCGCAGCTAGGATCTCCACCGGTGGAAACCGTTGAAACGCAAGCCACACCTTTTTTTGCTTTTGTAGTGTAAAGAGGGTACAGGAAGCAGACTGACATGCATGAGGGCCTCTGATTGGCTTTTTCTATTTGTCATTGCTAGCGGGACTACTGAAAGGGGTAAGGATGGGCTGGGCATCTTTCCTCTATCTTCTCACTTAATCTATTTCGAACTGGGGTGTGTATAGATGAAAAGATCACGCACTATCTATAGAGTCAGTGGGGAACCCCTTTTTGGCCCTCTTCTTTGTGGGAGAGGAGATCTTTTGAAACGAAGGATGCCAGCCATGTGGACGGCAATCCTCGTGTAGAGATCGAAATTCCATGTTTCTGGGAAAGCCGTTACTGAAAGAACCCGTGATCCTGGGATGCAACAAACATTGACTAGGGACTAGGATGTACCTGAGATTGGACCTGTCACTTGTGAATTTAGTTTATTGATTCCGTTATTGTTTTGTGTGCCAATCAGAGACACGGCAAGTATTTGAGATCAATCCTGGTCGACCTGCAGGGATCATCGCTGATCGTAGGCCGTGCACGGTTATAGATGATGAAGCAATGGCTGTTTAGAGTATCGAGCTTTCATCTAGACAATTGAACAGCTGAGGGTACTCTGTACGGGGTATACGGTATGATATTTCTATAGTTGCCCCTTTCCAGAATAGTCCCATGTGGTATATAGGATGGTCACTATTGTAGTGACTACTGTAGTAACTACGGTAACTACTATAGTTCCAATACTCTGTCCTCCGTCCAGACACCAAGCAGTACAATGATGACATGTAAACATTGAAATAGGAAAACCCAAGTGTCCCCGTAATGGGTGGGCCCCTCGGGCTTCAGATTCGGGGACCACTCCCATGGTGCCCGATCTGTGGGAAACCGTTTGGGCCTACGTTGTCCCGCTGTCACATTATTTATTATTGATTTATTTGCCCACTAGGGAGTCTCACAGTCGTATAGATCCGATCTTGTACTCTATATTATATTATATCCACAATCCTAGTCTATCATCTATTCCACTATTAATCTATCTTCCCAAGCTCTCTTCTATTCCCATGTAAGCGAAAGCGAGTCCGATGGGAGCGGGCCTTGGCCCCGCACGGGAAGAGACGAACCAGTTCGCTTGGGAGATCCCCGTTTACTGTGCACATGTGCAAGTACCTGAGTATGCAGTACTCTGTAGCGGTGGTAGTACAATCCTTTCTAGCCCTCTCTATCCGGTATAAACTCAACCGTGAAAGAGAGAAGCCCCCGGTTTGGGGAAGTAGGTCTATCTTGGGTGGGTATTGTTCTGATGTTTGATTTATCGAATCCTAGTTTCGCCTATTGTCCAAATAGGTAAACGGTAAATAGCAAAAGGAAAGAGAAAAGGTAAATCCCGGACCGTTCAACGTCACTGTAGGGGCCGTGACGAGGAGGTGGAACCTGTCGTAAATTTGTCACAGGTTTTTCTGGTGTCCACCGGACCCTCTAGACCGAACATCTCCATGGTTCAAGGCTTTTGTCGGCGTTTGTGTAGAAATGTCATTGTGTGGCTTTTGTCGGAGTTTGGGTCTGGCCCCTTTTTTGAGGCTCAGGGGGGTGAGACTGGAGACTTAGGCTCAGCTTGCAGGCTGAGGGGGGCGCGCGTAACAACGGCTCCCGATTACCTCGGGTTTTAGTCCCAAGATGGAGAGACTTGGGTTTATTTGATTTTATTTTTTTTTTTTTTTTTTTTGGATGCAATATACATGCTATTTGTGTATTCAGCTGTCTATATTCAGGGATTTTCAGCCACGTGAGGGTATATTAACTTAGAGACTTATCAGGACAATATACTCGTACTTCGCCTATATCAGCTGCATCCGGGAAAATAGATTTAACAGGGTAATATCATGTGACAAAATACCAACAAACAAACAAAAAAAAAAAAACGGGAAGGAACATAATTCGCCAAGTCAGAGTTGTGTAGTATACCATGCACATATATATCTCAACTTTAACAACGCCCAACTCCAACCACCACTCAACCATCACCCAGAAAATCCAATACTTAATCTGCGAAACCTGCAGTAGTAAACAATAAGCCCTCAAATCAACAGCCCAACAAGCCAGGACGCCAAAGACAGCGGCTAATCGACCGGTCCAACGCCATGTACAAATCCAGTGGCTGACACTCCACCCGCGCCACACCAGTCACAGCATCGTATAACCGACAAAGCAAGAAACAGGCCTGACATCCACAGTGGCCACGGAATAGGATACAGTATTGGATCTGACACCGCACATGGGGCAATGTCGTGGGGAGCTGTACATGATTCTCGTGAAAGCAGAAGTGTTGCGAAGCGAACGGGCTTACATGGCTGAGACAGATGATGATGGGGTATGCAAGGGATTCGATTTGGTCTGTTTTGTTCATAACGTTACTGTATAGTACCGGTTGGGCGATGACGTCTAGGGGAGATATACTGTATAGATGATAGAAACAGATGATACCGTACCACAGAGTAAAAACAGATCATTCCTCGGTGATACGAAGTAAATCGAAGGCGCAGTTTAAACTCGAGGATCACCGCGCTCGGACTCCAGTATGTGGATGTATGCACATCACCGTTTCCCGTCACCATCCCATCCCATCCCATCCATCACTAATGCATCCCTACAAAATATAAGAGTAAGATAATGAACCAAACCCAGGGAATCCAAGCCCCCAGAATCCTCGATCCAGAAATCAGGTCCCAAATAAAATCCCCGACACTCGTGGACCATGGCCATGTGGACGAATCTCGCCTGGAAACCTGCAGCCCAGTCCAGCCCAGTATACCGTAAACAGCAAGTAAGCAAAGTGATGAAAGACGGCAACGCACAAATCCAGGCCCCCGAGCCCCGAGCCCGAGGCAGAATGGTAGACCGCGAGGCACGGCATCGTGATAGCCATGTGACATTGCCCGTGGGACTGGACTGGGGGAGGGATATCCCCCTGCTTACCGGTACAGTTACCGTTTACCAGGCACTACAGTAGTCATCAGCTACTGTTGTTGATTTGACTACTCCACGGCAACCTACCGGTACGTGCCACGGCGTAAGGGATATGCAAGAGAACCAAAGGACGTGGGTGCGCATGCGCGTGTGCATGCGGATATCCTGGTTCTCGTTCTGGGTTTGGTTCTGGTTCTCGTTTTACTTCAGCTTCAGTAACGCGTGTCTGTCGACTGGGGTGGCGTGTTGCGTGACTGTGGCTCTGGTTTGGGCTTGGGGTTGGTTGATCGGTTGGCTGGTTGGCATGTACTGTCTCGCGTGTTCGTGTGGTAACTCTATATTGATTGATATATCAGCTGAATTATTCCAGCATCGAGAGCCGTATTCAGACTCTTGTTTTCATACATTTTCCTGAAGTGGTGTCTATAGACGACAGGTCCTTGTGCGTGCTTCTACTGTATGTTCATGTCTCGTATAGACAAGAGAGGCTCGTAAGCCAGGAGGTATAGTATCAGTTCCAGGAACCCAATACCTAAACCCCACCAAATCCCGTCCAGCAAGGCAATGTCTCGGATCGAGGGTTGAAAGCGTGACAGAGACTGCACGGCCAGTGGATTGGGTCCGAGGAAGCATGGACGGATTGGCAGGGGTTGACGATGGGGGATCGTGCATATCGGTTCGGTTCAGCTCGGCTCTGCATACAATGAATTGGTCCTGGCAGTATGTTTCGCCACCAGTATCAATACCGGCAAGAGTATCAAATGAGGTTTGTACTGGATCTCGGATAGAGTGATGTGGACACAACTTGATACATGTTCCATGTTCCACCCTGGAACGCATGGTGCAGTCGGAGATAAGGAGGTACTGTACTATAGATACGAGGCAGGGGTAGGGGTGGGAGTGGGCTTGGGCGTCGGCGTGCGCTGAGCTGTGAGATGTCATCCTGCAGTGGAGATATGAGCAGATTTAGCATGGCGACTACCGATGTGGCTGAGTATTCAATTCAGGTTCAGATTTCGGTTTTGGTTAGAGTCGACCTGTTGAAACGAGAAGGCGTGGCAGGCCGAGGATAAGCATGCACATGCGCATGAGCATAAGCATATGGCGCCAGGGGTGAAATGAAATGAGATGAGACGAGACAACATAGGGGTTGTAGGCATGCTATGCTATTCAGTATATTCAGCACAAGGCTACTCAGTAGTAAGTACCATACAAATGAATATTCCACAGTCCAATGGTAGGTAGGTAAGGAAACGAACAGCTGTGTTTATCTCAAGGACAAACTCTTTGCATAAATTCCCAATGGTATAGAATCAAATCCAAATCCAAATCCAACACCACATGTACCAGTAAATAATCCCTGAATTCATTACATAGATGACGGGACCCAAAACCCCAAACCCAAAATAGAAAGAGATAGAGAAAAGGAAGATATGACCCAGATGCAAGATCAAATGAAGTAGAAGTCAAGTAGAAGTCAAGTAGAGAAAAGAAGAATAGAAAAGAAGAAAAGCAATCGCTCAAGGGGTATAAATCGCTGTGCACATCATAACCAGATATCGCCTTCTTCGCCATTGACCCATTGTGCCCACACAGCCTCATAAGCATCTTCAAGATCACGCACCCAACGCGCCGTATCAAAGAGCTTATTCTTATACCGCTCTCGGAACAGCATCTGTCTCAACTCGGCCAGTCGCCCGCGACCCTCGCCAGTAGAAGGATAATGCAGATCCATACAAAGCCGAATAGCCTTATTCTCATAATCCTCCACAGAGCAAGCAATCAGATCATCGCGGGCATGCTGGCCAGCCTCGGATTGAGGAAGGGCGCTGCTGAGAATACTGCTCGCCATGCGCGAGCACATCTTGTACTTGTAGCGTGGGAGGGTGAGCAGCGGGGTGCCGCTCCAGAGGACGTCGGTGGCTGTAGTGTGGGCGTTGCATTCGGGGGTATCAAGAAACAGGTCTAGGATCTTCGCTCGCGCGATGTGAGTGTTCTTTGGTGCGACGTCTGTGAAGATGATTCGGGAGGCGGTTTCTTCGCCGGCCCAGGCTTTGGCAATGTCGCGGAGGTTTTGCTCGCCTAGGTCTGGGAAGCGGAGGAGCCACAGAACGGCATTAGGGATGCGCGCTAGGATGCGCAGCCATGTTCGGAACGTTGTGGGTTCAATCTGGCGGTGGTTAGTTATGGTTGGGAGATGGGTGGGTATAGCGACATACCTTGTACAGCTGATTGAAGTTACCGAGGATGATGGTATCATCGCCCAAATTAGGGAACAGTTCCTTGCGCATCTTCCACCGCCGGGCTTGCTCTTCCTCCCAGGATACATGCTTCTCGCCGGCATCTGGGGCACTCTGCCGGTGATCACAGCAAAAGAAAGTATCACGGGTGAAGACGATCTTCTCCCCATACACCCAGTCCTCGAGCTCCTCGCCATTTTCTTCTTCCAGGAGACGTTCATCAATACGCGTCGCACGGCGTCCAGGGCTTAAAGTCTCAGGTGGGATGGAAAGAGTGTCGGCAAGAATGTAATCACACCACTCAGCACCAAGGGTGCCCGCAAAGCCCATGAATGACATGTGAATGGGTGCCGGGCGCGCTGCAAAGACCTCGTTGCGAGCACCTCGAGTGTAGCCGTTCAAATTTACCAGAATGTGGACGCCATCCTCGACAATCTGTTGGACCAGTCGGTCCACCGACCACCCACTTGCATCATGGAACACAGATGATTCCTTCTCGATCTGCTGTCGATGCACTGATTTGTCACTGGGGGTGGTAGCGTAGCAGTATGACCTAACTCGAGAGGGATTGTGTAGTCCAAAGACCGACTGCATCAAATGTGCAAGAGGATGGTTGTTAAAGTCAGACGACACATATCCAACACGAAGATACGGACTCGGCGGAGAAGGTGGCGGGAAGACTGTAGGAGGAAGCCACGGAAGTCGCAGAGTCGAAGTCGAAATGCGCAGACCATTTCGCTGGGAGATCTGACGTATTTGCTTGGCCGTCAAGGGACACGTGAATGTATGGAAAGGCAAGACTGTAGGAGCACTAGGGGCAGAAAGAGCGCCGGGGAGTTGAGGCCGACGGTACTTTGAAGCAGGGTAGTCTTTACCATAGACATAACGATCCTGGTACCATTGCCAGGTAAGGGATCGAATGGCTCGCTCGATAAGTCGAACAATGCGGGATCCTTCCCATTTCTGTCCAGCCCAAGACTGGAAGAGCTTCTTCAGAGAGCTTCGTTGACTGGAGGCGAAACGGCTGGAATCCAGTGCGGGAGCCAATTGTAGGCACAACTGCTCTGCGGTAGTTGTAGTCAACAAGCCACGGCCCCAGTATTCACCTTCTTTGAGTTGCCGATCGACAATGTCGACAACCCTCTTGATCCATCCAGATCCTGTATCGGTGCTAAGAGAATCCCGAAGCATTCCCTTCTCATCGACGTGCCAACGGTCGCAAAAACCACGAGTATTGGCGACACCACCGCGACCGACCCAGTTGCAGACGGAGTTCAAGGCATTTGCGAGTCCGCAAACCGCCTCAGCAAACTCGGGATTAACCTTGACGGCGCGTTTGTAGTATGAGATGGCATCATTGACCTTGCCAGCATCCTTTACCGCATTGGCCAGGTTTGCCAAGGCAATATCGAAATTACCGTCGCACTGAACAGCCTGCTCGTACATCTTGATAGCAGCTTGGAGCTGGCCGATATCCTTGAGCAGACTTCCGAGGTTGGTGTAAAGATGGGCATGTCGTGAATCAAGATGCAAACCATAATTATAGTATGCCAGGGCCAGAGATATCCCACTACCAGGGACCACACCAGGAATCTCGGGGTGCTGGCTCTCTCCGTTCGGTCGGACCAAGCCCCTGGCTGGTGGATTGTTATGAATACCAGCCAGCAAGATACCAACATTGTTAGCGGTAGATGGACTGGGTTGGAGAGAGAGGGAGAGATAGTAGAGGGCCAAAATATCCCGCACACCAGGCGCAGACCGAGGCGCTCCTGATGAGACATTGGACATGCCATCCTGGTAGATCTTCGCCAACGAGAGAAGAGAGTTGCTGGTAGTCGAAATGGCCGCATTGCGAGCCATACCTTCGGCCACAAACTGAAGCCCAGGCGGCATGCCACCAGCTTGGAAAACAAGCTTGGCGGTTTTCAATGCTCGGTCGGGATAAAGGAGAATGCTTTCCTTGGACTCATGCTCGGTTTGAGGATATCCACTGGGGCCACCAGAGAACGCCGCAAAGATCTGCTTGATAATGCTTTGGATACCATGGCGTCTTCGACCAGCAGCGATGAGAACTGCATCTTCGAACGCAGACGCAGCACCGGCATTATCACTGAGAGCATAGAGCATGTTTCCTTTGGCGTGGATCAAAGCAAGCATTCGTCCATTATCCGAACCAGGGATTGCATATCCACTACTTGCGAAACCAATAGGCTTAGCATCTGGCGAGCCAGGTTCCAAGCCCTGGACGCGTCCCATGTCATCGTCGTATTCGAACGATGCTTTATCAAACATGCAGACATCAGACACGTTGCTCTCGGCATCACTTTCAGGCTCACTGGCGTGTTCGTCCGTCTTGAAGCAATCGCCATCCTTGGGGTGACGAAGGGAGCTCTGAACGAAGTCAATAATATTGACAGCTTCCTTGCCTCGGTGACTGCTGCACAGTAATCCGATCAAATGTTCGACGGCTTCAAAGAAGCTCGGGCGCAACTTCACAGCCCGCAACCAGTTTTGCAGGGCTTCTTCTCGTTGATCAAGTGCCAAAAGGGTTGCGGCGAGATTGGAGATCGCTTCTACGTGTCTGCCATCTGTTAATATTGATTGTCAATCAAATCGTTGATGTACTCACGTTGAGTCGCGGGCGATGATTCTAGAGTACCATCGCGTGGCTTTGTGATAGTCACCCAAGCCATATGCTAGACAGCCTCCAAGGAGCATCCCGTCGATCCACTCCCATCGGCTCTCTGCACATAAATGAGATAGCATGTCCAGGGCCGATACGGCATTGGATCCCGGGGATCCT